AACGGTGCAATGTTTACAAGGTTGGGATGAGATGCCAAAATGTGCCATGCTGCTGGGCGAGGTAAAGCTTCCGCTGATAGAAGCGAAGCCTTGCGCCAACCAGCATATGGGTTTCTTCGGTCCTCTTGTCTTCTTTCGTCACGTTTTCATCTAGCCTAGGAGATAAGCGTATGGGTATGGTTATGCCAATGCTGGTGCCATGTCTTCGAGAAAGCGATGAGGCGTCTGCGCTAGGTTAAGATGGGAAGGATAACGCGATACTTGATTGGTGTGCTCATGCAAAGCTCTACGGAAATATGCTGCCGCGTCGTTGAGCTGCCTGTTCGGGTTTGGTGGAGTTACATCGCATGCAAACGAAGTCTGTTTCATGGTGTGGAGAGCAGCCGAGTCGAGAAAACGCCCAGCGGGACGGAAGGCTGGGCGCCATGGCGGAGCGGCAGCAGTCTTCGGCGGTGATGGAAGTGATGACACATGCCTTTCTTCGACACAATGGACGGACCGACCTCTTGCTTCGTCGTCGATACCGACGTCTTCTATTCAAAGACCATGTATGACCTTTTTTACGGCCTGTCACTCCGCGTGTGTAAGCCTGTGTGCGCATGTGCGCTTCCGCATCGCCCTGCGGCGTGGTGTCATGGCACAGCATGTCGTCCAGATAAGAAAGAGCTAGGGGTATCACCCGTGTGAATGGTTGGAATCATCCATGCAAAGCGTGATCAGCAACGCTGCCAAGTACCGAAGCACTCAATCGATGTTGTCGCATGCGCCGAAATACCCATTTTCCATGGAGCTTGGCCAGCCGAAGCCCTGCAAAGACGGGTACTAAGCTCTAAACTGTAGTCTTGCTTTCGGCATCGCCCAACCGCCCAGACTTTGCCCAGTCACCGGCTGGTGATAAGACGGGCTTCGCGAAATGGCCTCTCGAATCTGTATGGGTCGACCGCCGGCCTGGGGCAACTAGTTTGATCCCTGGCAAAGTGGTGGAGTGTACCCACACCAGACACCTGCTCGAAAGAGAGACAGTCAAGGAATACCAAGACGGCGCTTGAAAAGAGCACATTTGCCGCTCGTGTGTTACAGGAATTGCGGGCTACGACTATAATTGCAGTCGACTGCCCGTTTCCCTGCTGTTCAGCAGCAGCTCATTCTTTTTCCCCGCTCAACTTCACCCCTGTCTGCTAGTCATGACGACGAACGCTGCATCCAACGCCGTGGACATGGCCATGTCCAACGAGCCCGCCAAGGCTGCTATGCCTCTGTACGAGGTCGATGAGAAGCGTGCCCTCTCGGATGAACGCACGCCATCGACTCTCAGCCATCAGCCCCATGACCCCGATGTCTTTGATGCAGACTTGGAAGGCGAGGAACCCACGGAGGAAGACTTGAAGACACTCCGTCGTGTATCCGGAAAGATTCCGTGGACTGCCTTCACCATTGCGTTCGTCGAGCTTTGCGAGCGTTTCGGATACTACGGTTGCCAGGTGTTGTGTACGTCATTGCCCATCAACATACTCTAACTAAAGCGCTGACTTCTTTCCAAGACACCAACTTCATTCAACAGGACCTTCCTGTGATCGATGGCGTCGTACAATCCACTGGTCGCGATCCACGTGAAGAGGGTCAACCAGGTGCGCTTGGCATGGGTCAGCGTGCTTCCTTCGGTATCGGACAGTTCAACTCTTTCTGGGCGTACACCACTCCCATTATCGGTGCCATCATCGCCGACGAATACCTCGGTCGTTTCAACACCATCTTCATCGCCATTGCCTTCTCTATCCTGGGCCATATCCTGCTTATCATCTCCGCCATTCCCCCTGTGCTCACTAGCGGCAATGCAATTGGACCTTTCATCCTGGGTGTCATCACCCTTGGTTTCGGAACTGGAGCATTCAAGGCCAATATCTCCCCACTAATTGCTGAACAATACCGCCAGACCAAGCCGCGTGTCATCAAGGATCCCAAGACTGGCGAGCGTGTCATCTCTGACCCCAACATCACACTCTCCCGTATCTTCTTGTGTAAGTTATCACCCGCTGGCACACAAGAACCAGCCCACTGACATACCTCAGACTTCTACATGTTCATCAACATTGGTTCCCTCACTGGACAACTGTCCATGGTGTACGTCGAGAAGTACGTTGGTTTCTGGTGCGCGTGGCTGCTACCCACCATCATGTTCTGCTTCTGCCCCGTCGTTCTTTGGGTCTGCAGGAACAAGTACCACCGTACTCCCCCCACTGGTTCCGTCCTTATCCGCGCCATCAAGGTCCTGAAGCTTGCCACCAAGGGCAAGTGGTCTATCAACCCCGTTACCACGCGCAAGAACTTCAAGAGCGAGCGTTTCTGGGAGGATGTCAAGCCCAGCCATCTCGGTGCGAATAAGCCTGGTTGGATGCAGTTCGACGACGCTTGGGTTGACCAGGTTGCTCGTGGTCTGCGTGCGTGCTCTTGCTTTACCTGGATCCCGCTCTACTGGCTGTCATACAACCAGATGAACAACAACCTTACCTCGCAAGCCGCCACAATGACACGTAACGGTGTTCCCAACGATGTCATCACCAACCTTAACCCTATCTCTCTTGTCATCTTTATCCCTATCGTAGACAACTTCCTCTACCCCGCTCTCCGCAAGGCAAACATCCGCTTCACTCCTATTAAGCGTATCGCTTTCGGTTTCATCCTTGCGTCTTTCGCCATGGTCTCCGCTGCCGTTATCCAGCACTACATCTATGCCGAGGGCCCCTGCGGAAAGTACATGAACAGCTGCGACGACCCAGCCCCACTTAACGTCTGGACCCAAGCCGTTCCGTACGTTCTCGTTGGATTCTCCGAGATCTTCACATCGATTACTGGACTCGAGTTTGCCTTTACAAAAGCCCCCAAGAACATGCGTTCGCTGGTTACCTCGTACTGGCATTTCATGTCTGCCTTTTCCAACGCGCTTGGTCAGGCGTTCGTGTCGCTATCTGAAGACCCGTTGTTGGTTTGGAACTACACGACTGTTGCCATCTTGGCATTCATCGGTGGTATCCTCTTCTGGTTCCACCAGCGCAAGACGGATAAGCAGGAGGACGTCCTCAACATGCTTCCGGACTCCAACTACATCGGCAAGGACCGGAGACACAGTGTTGAGGAGGGTATTGCTGGACACAACATCGAGGCGCATGTGCGCACTTAGGTTGTGATCGTACGCAGCATGATGCGATACGTTGATGTTTACGAGCGTGGCTACTGAGGGTGGCTTTACCTGTGGATCTGTTATGATCGATGATACCTATTTGACTTCCAGACTGGAAGCTGATTAATATACGAGTCTTTCACTTACCTCATATGCCTGCTTTTCGTCTTATGCTGATTATGCACCATATCATGTTTCGCTGCATTGAAGACGACTTTCCTCAATCACGCCAATGTATAGGGGGGCTTGAATATATACGAGCGGAATTTTGAGCCACTGTTGCCTTGCGTGCTCGTTCCGCATACCGCCGCAGAATCGCACCCTTACTAGTCATGCGCCAGCGACATCGGAAGCGAGGCGTGAGTGAGGTGAACACAAGCCTTAGCCTCAACAACAAGGTCTGACCTATTGCTTGGAACTCTTTTGGCGCCTGCGTACGCTCTTGGTAGTGAGTAATCTCTCAATGTGGTTCTTGGGTTGATCTGTTAGCCGCGATGACGATACGGGCGAATTACTTTCACGTTCGACTTGGTGTGTTCAACACAGACACACAATCCGGCACTGGCGCACAACACTCTACTGTCTATCGCTGCCCATGTCTATTGTACTTGTGCACTACTATATAAAATGCTGCGTAAGCTATTGGTCGCTTTATATTTCCATATACATGCTAGCCTCTGCGCATGTGTGACTGTTGTGTGACGAGGTTGAGTATTGCCCCATGCTCTAAGCTCACCGAGTGGATTTCATCCTCAGGTTCGGTGTAGCCATGTAAACATCTTTCTGGTGGATGCCCGGTATACTTGAACACGGTAACGATACTATGGTGACCAAACTTTGCGCGAACAAGGTTGGCCAGATTTCGGGATCGGCATCGAGAGGGAGCGAGCCCGTGGGTAAGAGATTGACGGATGCGGTCTGTTCAGGGAAGATCGGTGGGCTGCGGAGAAGCGTGCGGGCCGTGTGGGGTGTCGATTCTTATGACGTTGACGTTCGAAGCCATGGCCAAGCGTTGCGTCGAGAGTGGGTCGATCAAGGAGAAAAAGAGGCGCGCAGTGCGAAGCGTGGGATGTGAAGTGGTGTGTGCCTTGATACCACCGTGGAGACGCGTCTTCGAACGCGCCAAGGCCCGTCCCACTCGTGCCGTCATAGTGGCTTCTCCGCAACGTCGACGTGTGCCCCTACACACATCCTACGGGAATACGTTCTTGGAGCTCCAAAGTAATACAGAAATATCGCAAGCACATTCATTGTATCGATCCACCAGAAAGTGCAATAGTCTCGCGATTGTGTCGAGCCTCATGATGCCCTCTGGTGAGCGCTTATGGCGTGCTCGAGTATATCCAACGCTGTGGGTCCTTATGTTGATGGGCCCCTCGACAGAAGGTCGTATCAATGCTTGGTCTCTCGTTTCACCTTTCAAGTCGCATCTGGCTTATAGAGACCTTCCCATTGTAGTGTGTAGCGGTGTAAGTCGTTCAGGAGACGGTAGGTATGAAAGGAGGGTGTCAGTATCCACGAGAGCTACGACAATGTAAGCGACGGAAACTGTAAGGTAATCACAGATATCTGTGAAGCCGCTTTCGAGCGAGGCAAAATAGTCATCATACTTTTCACCAAAGTCATTTCGACATCACCGTGTCGACTGAGCCTGATTCACTTCGAAGCTCGCGCAGTTGACTCACAGACCACAGCAAACGCTGAACCGTGTGAGACGCAAGACCGAGAGCAGCAACTCAAATGACTTTCTACAGCTCCTTGCAGATCATCATCGTCACTAAGACCTCGGTACCAACATCCAATTCTGTATACCGCTACAGCAATGGACGAAGTATCAAGCGATACCGATATCAGCATAACATCAGTTCGCTCATCCATCCTCTCACCCTCAAACCCGCCTTCTCCTCCGCCCACCTTTCTCACCGTCTATCAAGTCAGCCTCGTATCAGCCTATAAATCTTGCGACGACCGCATCAACAGTCTTATGAACACTGTCGTCGACCTCGAGATCAGCGTGCGACGCGAGCGCGATGAACCGAGCCTCCGATATCTTGTGGAAGAGCTGGATAAGGCGCAAGAGCAATTGGTACTGTACAGAGACGTAAAGCGAAAAAAGGAGAGAGAAATCAAAGAAGAGGAGAAGAAATTGAAGTTGATTGCGGGGACTGGGTCGATCGTAGCGAAGAGGCAGTTGAACGACATGGGCATACATATGAGTAAGGAGAGAACAGTGCTCTGTCTGCGTTGATAGTGTAGCTGGCCGAAACATGCTTGCTGTGGATCGCAACACAATGCGTATTGTGCTTAGTTCAATTGGACCTTGAGCTGCTTTAAGAACCACGAGTTGCGGCAGATATAATAAAAAGACACGAGTGAATTGCAAACACAGCTCGTTGTGGACTTCATCAACGCACCATTTTTCATAAGAGGAAGTATATCGTTAACCTCGACGAGCAGAATGGGACGGGTTGAGTCAACGTCCAGGACCAAAAGGTTGAGATTATAGATGTATACAGGGTGGTTTTACAGGTATTAGAATACAGAGGTCAACAGTTTGAGGTACAGAATGCTGCCGGAGCAAAAGAAACAGAGCCCAAAGCGGCACGCTATGGCTGATTGGTATTTTCGTTTCGGTCTCCGTTGTGTACTTCTTCGAATTCGAACATCGGATGTACCACTTCCCCCCAGCACCACAAACATGTCTTAGTTCCGTCTTGTCGTCCGCATGCGCAACGCTCTCTTTGGTCAACAAAGGATGCGTCAAGATCATGTTCTTCAGTTTCGTAGCAGCGCAGGCACAACCACCGGTCAAGAAAGTGATTGCGTAAAGTACACTGGCATTGAGAAGTTTGAGGACTCTCTTGACCCTGGGTCGCGATGGATGGCCGGCATTCATCGCAGAACCATCGTTTCCTCTGCTCCGCCGTTTGGTATAAAGCTCGAAGGACCGGCGAAGGATGAGCGACGCTTGAAGACGCTGATGCAGCCAACGTGTGGCTCCCTAGATCCATTTCTAGAAGATCTTCGACACTTTCAGGTAGACCAAAACTATCTTCCTCAAACGGAACGTCGATGAAGCCTTGATCATGATATGGTGCTTGCAGACTGTTTGAAGGATCCTGCCACTGCGACCCAGCTTCGTCACTATCCATGTGATGTGGGCTGAGGATTGGCACCTCGAGAGGTGACAGCAGAATGAAGCCGCTGAAGTTGGGCAGTTCATCCTCATCGCAAGGTGTTTCGTATATGCTCTGGTAGACGCAGTGAATGCGGCATTCGTCGCAAGTGCTGACTTTACATCTGGCACAGGGCCGGCACTCTGTGGTAGACTCTTTTGCTCCACACTTTATGGTTTCTGTACAATCGTAAGCGTAGAAGAAAGTAGACTTCTTGTGACGCTTGTTGCGGACATGTACACCTCGACCGGAGCATTTGAGCTTCCCTAACAAATTTTCTAGGCTACCAGGTTGTGGTAAGATCGCTTCATGGGTGGATCTTGAACATAACAACAGTGCCAGTAAGTCGTCTGGATATAGGCTGGATACGATCATTTCCAGTAAGCCATATTGGTGGAAGACCTCCATGATTGGACACCTTTGTCTGGACTCGGACGGACTATTGTTTCGGGTCTTCTTGTGGGCCTCGATTAGCGTGCACCCTGGCCTCTTACGCTTCAGCGTCTCCATAGTCTTTGAGTTGTGATAGTCTTGTTTCTAGATGTTCTCTACTTCCGTCGTCCTACCGGTTGATACGTGTTGGCCCAATGACCAGGGAGCGGATGAAATCTTGTTACTTCTGAAGAACAATGAGCGGGGACAACAAGGATAGTAGAGTTTATGTTGAAGTCATCGTGGGCCAGCAAATCCGGAGTGAGAGTACCGGCTCATGAGTACGGGCAAGTCCGCACGACGACGGGAAACGCATCTCAAGGCGACGTACTTGTCTCACACGCTACAGCGTGTATATAGCCTTCCGCGCTTCCGATAGCGCTTAGCAGCCTACAATGTCCAGATCTGGATCCATCTTGGCGTTGTGTAGGTGACGATGTTGTGGAGAAGCTGCACGAACGGGAAGAAGTTGAAAATGGCGCAGTGTTACCAACGCTTAGCAGTAAAGTGGGGCTTGCACTTGTGAAGCAAGGCGCCTCGTTGAAAGAAGATGGAAATGTCCTTAGTCTCGTCTATTTTGTGCATCGTGAAATGGAAAGTGCGGTGCCGGAGAATTACGGAACAATGTTCCGATCATAGCCGATTGACGAATGAGCGGCGATGACATAATAGTGCCTCGGTGATTGCTTCTTCCCGTTCCTCTCACCCATTTTCCAATAAGCGATACATCACGACAATCGTGTACTACCTCTTCAGTGCTGCTTGCCCCCATCTCACCGCATGCTGTTCGCAGATATAGCATCTTGCGAGTTAGTCTGCAGTATATGTTTTCGCGATGCTACATCTCAACACTTTTTTTTCTGGTTGCATTCACTCAGGACAATGACTTCACGAAAAAAAGCCATTAGTCCGCCTAAACTTGTAGTCAATGATTCCCCATCACGGTAGAGGTGCTTGGATGGAGCAGTAGTTTGATTGATTTTGTCTCCTCATCTAATTTCACTATTGATTCGAGATTCTCCTCGTTGATCACGTCGCAAGCCTCCTTGCTCTAGTTCTGATGTTCCAATATCACGATGATACCAATCTCGTCTGCTCGCTACCACTTCGAGTCGTCCTCATTTCTTCTCGTCGGGAATGGAGTAGCAGCAACCGATGTCGAGCACGTTGTAGAAAGTACAGTCGCGCTGAACATAGAAGCCGCCCTTCTTGTAGCAAGTCGCTTTGGTCGTGCAGATACCGGATGGGTCTGATCTTCCACAAGGCGCTGGGTACGGATCTTTTGGTGCACCAAGGGCGAGAGACGTGATCGCAGCCATGATGATGAGAGGCTTCATTCTGAAATGCGATAACCGTTGGTGCACTGTTTTTCGTGGAGATGTTGGGGGGTGATGCCTCGCGAAGATATGTAGAGGTAAGTATGTCGACAACTTGGTATGTGACGGCTGTTGTTGTTACGAAACCCGAGGGTTTATATATACAACAGAACCATATTTGCGACGCCGCTGACATAGCTGTAGAACACAATAGTGCTTCACTTCATCTGCAGTAAAGACCATAATTAGCTGAGCCTACACGACCAAATACAGGATCCCAAGATCTGACCAATCCAGGCAGTTCCATGACCACTAGTCGTCACGATTTATTTTGCGTATCTCTAGCAGACATATCATCAGGTTATGCTCTGGGCCAATGTGAGCTTCCACTTGTGAACCTCGCGATAGCGCTCATATGCGTAAATTGCATCGCAGCTCTTAGCGAGAAGATCAATATATCCTCCCCGGATTCTCGTATTCCCCAGGACGTATGATAAGGCCCCACATGCGAGCTAGACATTCTGCCATATGAAGGACTTCGTACTGTCGTTTACGACCAGGATACCAGATACCTATGACGTCGCTGTATCTCGTGGCGCTAGACTCTATTATCTTGCCTTAACTACGATTGTGTTGAGGCGGAGGGACCGAGGATATCAGTGATAGTTACAGCTGCAAGTCCAGATTCTCGCCACGTTGGACCCCTGCTTCACGCTCGCTCCCGGGATCCGGTATTGTGTCAAACCACAGTGTAACACAAAAATTGCCAAGTATTCAGTCCAGAATGAACTACTCCATATTCATTGGCTAGTGTTTTTTGCATCTTTGATCCCCGGATTGACTAGTAACAGCGCGGTGCTTTTGTTTCTGACTTTACTGCCTGATTGGGATTCGACATGGCCGTTGCCTCCAATATGCGGCGTGATGATGTTGCATCACAGGAACACAGTGCGCCACCATCGGTCTAGCCCTTTGACAGATACAAGTCGGAGGCGACTCGAGATGGTGAGGCCCATGTCTGTACTCGTCCCCTGGGTTTGGTTCCAAGCAAATGCCGTCATGTCGTTTGTGAGTCTGGAACGCCAGCTCGTTCAGAGGCGCAGCTCAATCATCTGTCTCAGCTCGACGTGTTTCTCGAGGGGCATGGGGGCCCTAGTTGACCAGCGGTTCCGCCGCGCTGAGTGCGATTGCAGCGACCAAAAGTTGGAAGAGCTACTAAAGGGATGTGCCGCTGTCTTGTAGACGACGGCAGTCGCACCAAAATAGTTCAAACATCGGTGCACTGATCCGAGGTTTGGTGCGCCCGCTGTCGGACACGCTAAAAATCGCGCAGTACGTCACGTACGCGCATTTGGCCAGGAAGTCAGCCTCACGTAGCTCTGCTGACAACACCGGACGTAGCCGTAAGGCTGTGGGTTACAACAGGGTGGCCAGCGTCACCGTTGCCAAACATGGATGCGCTATTAAAGATATTCCTGGTCGATTTGCTCGAACAGCGCATTGCACTGCACTCTCAACACAAATTTTCACTACACCAGGGCCCGTGTGCAACGCCATGCCCGAAAGGAAGTTCGCTACGACACGCCCGGTAAGCTTCTAGAATGTCAGTAATCGAATCATATAACTGTTCGCTTATCTATACCGAGCACAGCCGGTCTTTCCATAGAAGCAGCTTTCTTCCACGGAGCTTCTAGCGCCGTGAAGTTTTTCGGGCAGACTAGCTGGCGTCAGGGACCGCCGGCGGTCAACGGCGGCACTCAGCCATGATTGGTCGGCGCCGGCACCTCCAGTAGGCAGGATCAACCGACCTGCAGCCGCATCTCCACCTTTTGTTCCCAGCATCAGCCGCATCCATTCCCACGACATCATTCTGTATGGACTTTATATTTCTGTACTTCGTTTGATTGTCGTCTACTTCCGATAAACTCTCCACAAACGCCACCATTCTGCTGGTGCGTGAGACCCGACCCATCCGTGTCATGACGAGAGGACGATATCCCGCGTCTCGTAAATACCGTCTATCCAAAGAGGCTAGTACCTTGGCCCCAGAATGGCCATGGCCCCACGGAAAGGAACGCGACGAGCGTGTGACCCTTGTTCTGTCAGTAAGTGTTGGACGCAGGTCAACTATCGTGACACAACTGACATTGCCTCTCATCTAGGAAAAGTGCGATGTGATGGCAACCAGCCATGTTCCAGATGCGAAGCTGCTAGCTGGGACTGCACCTACTTGAAGACGCATGGGAAAAGCGGACCAAAAGGACCACGTCGGACTACAGAAGCCGCCATTAGGAGACTGCAAGAACGCAGCAAGGGGACCCATGACGATGGGTCAAGAAGCAACAGCGAGACGAGCTTTGATGCTGGAAGCCCGAGGACTACCGATTTGCCTTATTTGGACCCGATACCCTTGATGAGCGATTCCGATGTTGACCCCAAAGCCTGGCCGGATATTTTAAGCCCAACACTGTCCGCTATCCCCCAAGAGCCCCACAGAATATCGACTGCCTGCCTATCGCATTACCTAGATATCTACCAAGCACGTGGATATGGCATATGGCCAGTCGTCGATGCCGAAGCACTCACTGCACGGCTTTTGACTCATCCCGACGATTTGGAAGCCTACGCACTAGCCACTGCGATATGTGCTGCCATAGTCAGCCAATTCTCTATAGATGCCGAGCCAGGCAGTCCACTCGAGGGCCACTATCGCGTTCCAAGCGGCACGTTCGAATCGGAAGCAAAGAAAGCAAGGAACGAGTCCGATCACTTGGAGAATGTGACTATATTCTCTTTGCTAAGTAGCTTCTTCCTACACGTTTATTCAGCAAACGTTGGGCGAATGAACGCTTCCACGGTCCTCCTCGGCGAGGCCATTTTCAAGGCACACATCATAGGCTTACATAAACCGACGTACTATGAGCTCATGACCGCCGAGCAAATACAGTATGCTTTGAGGGTCTACTGGCTTCTCTTCATCACAGAGCGAGCGCACTCCTTACAGCACGATGTGCCAACGACATTGAAGCGAGCGCCCAATCTTCCCAGGCTAGAAGACTTACATGATGGATCAGTTACACCTGCGTTCGTCCAACTTTGTCGGCTGTTCAATATCCTAGATGTCACCATAACAGCCGAACCTGCAGCTGCGCGCCACGCTCTTGCATTAGCTCAACAACAACTTAGCAGTGACGAGGACCCTCGCAGTCTTGAGAATGAGCTCCAGCGCGCAGACATCACAATGACTCAACAGTGGATGCGCATCTTCCTGTGGCAGCATGCTCTCAATGTAACGAATTTGAGCAGTCGCGCCAGTCAGGATGAGGAATTCTCATTCCGTTTCCCCGCTAAGGTCGCCCAAAACGTTCTCAGTAATCTAAGTAGCCTCTCGCGGGAAAGCGTCGAGGCGCATGGTCCAGGCATGGTACGTAACATCTCCCTGGGTGGCACAGGACATCACTGACATAATTGTAGGAGTCCAAGCTCTTCGACGTCGCCAATTCGCTTGCTGACGTTATGATGATCATGCCGTCGCTTAACCACGAGTCTCATTTCAACGTTGGTCCTAGAGATTTGATCCACTCACTAGCGCAAGTGCTCGCTTCCTTTCGTGGTGGCAACCCTGCTGTTATCAGCATATTGCAAGACAAGCTCACCATGCTTGGGCTATCCGCTGGATCGCCACAGAAATTGCTTGAGCTTTCGTCACCAGAAGAAGAACACGAAGAGTGGCACGATAGATCGATGTCTGCCCCTTCCACGTACCCGTCATCAGCCGCCGACCCGTCGATGCCGCCCCCACTTCAATCGAGCATGAGTATGGATAGAACATACTGATTTGTTCAACTCCATGAGCCAACATTCACGCAATTCAACTTTCCCGCAAAAGGCTGTGTATGCGGAGTACAGTCCCCCGCTACGACAGCCGATGCCTATGGACTTTGTTGACCTAATTTCGCAAGAAACACACAGTCCGTGCGCTGCTGCCCATCATCCAGGGTATCAAGACGATGGATCATCCGAAGTTGTACAAGTGGAAAGCTTGTCGCCCAGAGGAAATGCACAAATCTAAGCAGACCGGCTTTTTACGCACAACCATATGTATGGTGCGAGGCCCCCAAGTACGACACGCATCCTGCCGATAAGCGAGGTTCCTTGTGGAAGAAGAACATCATGCCGAGGGTGCCGCCGGGACTGTGATTCGCGAAAATTTGTCGAACCTCAAGAAAGACTGGGACAGTCACGACAAGGTTGAGACGCACAGACGCTGACGTGACGGACACGGAGCTACCGGGATGAGGAGCTAGAATTGCAAGAGCGATGGACAATCAGTCTCTTGATGCAATTGAGTTGGCGTTGAAGCTGCAGACGCCAATCTGCAGTACGCGCATTAATTAGCCTGTTGCAGAAGAGGCGGCTCGACTGCTCTGTCGTGGAGATCATCCTGGTTTAGCAGCGGAATAGAACGAGTGACGATGTATGTCCACCGGGTGTCGAAGACAAGCAGCACTCTAGAGATTATCTCGATGCATTGTTGATTCAATACGGTAGCTGTGACACTCTGAGATAGTCTCGAGTATCCGAGCTATTCGCCTGAGTAGATTCTGTCGCTAGGTATTTTCCAGCCAAGTCCATTACAATGAAAGCGTACACCACTTAGAAGTCTCGAGGTCAACGGACCAGATTTGGAGAAAGTGCTGGAATGGGAGAATCATCGCACACTAGCCGTATAGCACAAGCTCCACGAAATACCACTCCCACCAAGCCACTGGGTCCAATCTGTGTGCTCATCTACGTGACATACAAACGCTCTCCCTTCACTTCCCGGAACGTCGATATCTTCAGTCATCTCTACAGACCTTTTCGTCGAAGACAATCTCCTTTTTTAGGCTGACTACCTGCAGAAAACCCACGTCCTCGTATTCTACCGCATTATCCGCCTGCCTCTTATGACATGCCGCACCGCAAAGTTCAGGACGGCCTTTATGACCCGCGATCTGGCGAGGACAAAGATAAACTTTGCGTGTTCGCGGAACGACATGCAACTCTTCGGTCTTGTGGACTGGAAGAATCTCTTGCTGTACGTGATCGAGGCTATGAACTACGCGGATATCCAGGCTCGAAGTTTTGACTTTGATAGCGTTGAGGTATCTCTAGATATGAGTTAGCACTGTTCGAATTCGATTGACGCATGCAGCATGCCTTGTCCTTTATCCACTCGTATAGCGTGTCCATCTGAAAGTAAAGCGCCTCTGCTTGCAGGCGATTGTATAGGTCATAGTCAAAGCCGTTCATCTTGTTGTAGAAAAGAGGAAAGACTTCGGGACGGCGCATGAAGCGAAGAAGATACTCAAAGAGATCAGGGTCAGCGTCCATGAAGTATGAGCCGTCCAGCTCAGGCTCCCATGGACCGAAACGTCCGGAGAGCTGCCTCTTAAACCAGCCAGACTCAGACTTCAGCGTGTCACACGAGACTTTGAACTTGCGCCCACCAACGTCAAGCGTAAGATGTCTTGGGTAGCCGGCAGCGACAACGGTTCCTTGGACACTGAGATTAGTAGCGTCGATAAGATTGGTGGCTGTGGTATATTCAGCTTTACCGTTTTGCTGGTGTTTGCTGTCTTCGATACTAGTGGGCGCACTCATTTTGTCGGAAGGAAAAATTGCCTTTGTGGTGGCAAAGTCTTCGAGACTCATTCTGCTGATGAATAAAAGCAGTGTGCGATTTTGTGGTTCTTGTAAGCGACATGAGTCCTTGGACGTGAGAGGTTTGCTCTCAAACGCGCTAGCGGATTCACCGCTCACTGTTCGAATTCAGCTGACGAATTCGATAGTCTGGGATACTCTCCGTAAACGAAACATAGCGCGTGAGGCAATTGTCTTTCACGTTATTTCGATGCGGAGAACGAGCCTTTGCTGATGACATTCTAGATCTGCCCAAATACATGACCTAGAACCCATAATCGTTCCGAAGATTGCCATTGTAAGAACGATTCATGATAGTTTGACTTCACACCGCTCAAAGTTATGCCGAGTCTGTTTCGCTCGTCTTCCTTTATGTCTCTCATGATACATGTCTTGCCGCACTGCCTAACATGTCTTATGTCCCAGTATAGCCTCGTAGAAAGTCAAGTATGAAAGTTGACAATGCAAGCTACAACTGTCCTTTGACATACTCTTCTCGCGCCTGCCAAAGCAGCTCATCTAATTCAGTGTTCCCAACCTCACCGCCACCCACTACACCTTTTGTCTCAGCGCTATCACAGCACCCCGACCACCCATACTGCACCTTGACCCATGCAGCGTCCCATTGACTCGGTTTGAACCACAACGGAATCATCTCAAAGCCTTTGTCATGGATCGTGCTATCCCTGTACACCGCTACTGGGCACTCAGCCTGATTGCCTCTCTGACATTTATCATTACCCATTATGTAGCTATTATAGTGCATAATGCCTTAGATTCGATGTACGAGGTCAGCAAATGACTCACATACGCTTCTGACTAGGAGATACCTACTGTTGACATCGTACGGCGTATCGAGATTCAGCATCCATCCGTCGTTGGATTTCCCATAGAGAACGGATTTGGTGAAGGAGCGACCGCTAAATTCATATTTGGCAGCTATGTTGACGTCATTACAAAGCTCCGCAGTCGTCACACTGGGGTCGGATTCGCGAGCACGTGCGAGAGCGGTGGAGTAATCTGTGAGCTGTAGTGATGGAAGTACGGAGTTAGCATATATCTCCATGCATCTTAAACAGTCGGAATCTACCTTCATGCAGTCGTAGCGTACATATGTGTCGCGGTCGGATCGTCTATTTTTGGGTGTACGAAGTCAGCATATGTCTCACGCGCGGTTCGTACAGAGACACTTACTGTTGCTCGTGCATCATTCCTTGAGTGTTTTAGCTTCACGACCTTAAAATTTTTGGATGGCTGTTTACGTACCCATGACATGGCCGAATTCATGTGCAATGGTCTGAATGCTAGCCTCTTCGCCAAGCCACATGTCTAAATCCCATGGCTTTCCAGGAGAATCACCCATTCCCACAGTAGATGATGCGGCGCGTTTTCCCGCACGATCATCCTTCCAGATAGCGACTGTTTTGTATGGAACAGCCATGTTCCACTTACTATCAACTGGACTGTTCACGTCGATGCAGTACATGGGTTTCTTCCGAGGATCAATCCATTCCGAGAACATGATCTTATGACCACTAGCCTCCGAAGCCTTACCACCAAGTGCTGTGATCCAAAGTTCGGTGGCTGCTTCCACTTTCGCGATGTTGGCTTTGCGATGTTCTTCAGTACTAAATGTAGGCATGCGAAGTCAGTGTGTGTCTCACATGCAGTCTGTGCAGGAAAATTGATGACGCAGGGTATCTTGAACTGATCCTAATTTTCATAGGGTTTCGGCGGAACGATTCTCTCGGAAGACGGGCTGCCAGTCAGCATGCAGGAAAACTTACGGAAAGCAATATGGTATGACGGTGAGACCCTTGACGTAGAGGTCTGTCCATTTCTTTGGTCCGCCGCTGCCCTCATGACCCCAGATAGATGAGGCGCCTGATTGTACCCCATCATAGCTTGGAGTTTCAGTCTTGTTAGATGGGGGCAGGACGGCGCATGGACCTGAGAAGATAGGCAGTTGTTGAGGAACAACCACCCCTAGGACCTGCATGGCAGCTGCCGCGAAGATTGGGATGTATATGAGACTCATCCTGGTTGTCATACGTACGGTTGAGGAGGAATTTGTAGGAATAGAAGCGTGAAGCAAGATGTAAAAGACTTTAAGCTAGTGGAAACAGAGGCAAGCATATAATCAGAGTCGTAGAAAGATAGTACAGTGTTTGTCCTATGCGCATTGACCATACCCGTACTTGTTGTGAGCTGTAGTGACCCTACACGTGAAAGAGGCTTGCTAGTACGAAATAGTTGTTCGTTGCGCAAGGCTCCCGTACGTGATCCTCCAATCACTGGACTGAGCACAGTATCAGTGGTGGTTTGAGTGGAGCGACGGTGGGCTGTCGGATCGCAGCGAAGGTGAGGCTGCCACCAGATTTCATACTATTGTCACTTGATTATACTCCGCATCTAGTCGCATTCACTGAGGTCTAATAGAGGGCTAAAGATCTTGTTCTCGGCAGGAGAACGGCGCTAGAGATGTTACTCCTTACCAAACAGCAGCAACGCAGATTGACCATCACCACGACCAAAAGCCGTGATTGACGCGCTCATGATCGAAGTCGAGATGGCGCACTCCCCGTCCAACTCAGGGATCAAGAACTTACGCGACTTCTTTGCACGCGGCGATAGGGAAATGATCTCTCCGGAGCTCAAACAAGCACTGTCCTTGTTGCAACTATCCGGCCTCGACAACCTCGAAGAGCGCTTTCTCGCAACTACTGCATTTCTAGAGCCGTGGGCTGTGTTCCGCGATTCGATCTTCCTGTTGCGACCGGATGCAATGCCTCGTGCGACAACGATAACTAGAGAAGACCGGAAGGATGGAATCTCGCGCACAGACCTATTGTGGTTTTATACACAGTTCGATGAAGGGATACGCCGCTACGATCCACGTGCGAACAAGTACAGTGGGGAGTACACAACTGACTCCAGTTTTCATGGTGTGATCGACAAGAGCAACTGGAATGTGCAGGCGTACGAGAAGCATCTCTTCGCTTGGCTGCTGCAGGTATTCAAGGTTGGTAAATCACGCAACCCATGGGGCTTTGACTACTTTGAGCTTTGCAACATATGCATTGCCTGGGAAGCGGTGTTCGTACCGATCATTGACGCAGTCCGTACTTCCTACAGCGTCAGAGGCCGACGACACTACGGTCGCCTTGCACTCTACATCGAAGAACGATGCCCATCTGGTCTTGCATTCCCAAAGGGCAATGTGATAGTACCTGAGGGAAGCCCGATATCGCCCACTCCGTACCGAATCATTTCTTTACCCAAGAAAGTCATCGGCGATGATGGCGCTACATTCCAAAAGCGTGTTGAAGGGGCCGGCATGCTTACACGAAAGCACTACGACGACACCGAGAAGGAGCTTCGCGACGTGTATCCTCAGTACGGCGGTTTGGTTGAGCGACCTAAGTTCAAACACAAGATGGAGGAGTGGTTGAATGAGCAACGAGCACGAGCAGACCGTAGGAAGGCCGCGGAAACCAATGGTGAAGTGAAGAGTTTGCAGCCCCAGATGGTGAACCGGCACGGTAGTCGAAGCCCTATGAAGAAGAGCTCTCCCACCGAACACCACAACAAACGAAACAGAGACGGTAACGAAAGCCCGATCAGAAGATACCCGGGTAGTATTCGTCGCTCGCTGTCTCGTGGCGTGTCCAGAACGGCGTCAAAGGAAGAGCCGAAGAGTCCGTCATACGGTGGAACACGGCAAATCCATATCCATGGTGAAGGTCCAATTCACCGTGCGTCTAGCCCCCGAGACCTCTCGTTAGGTGAGAGTTGCATGAGTCTTGCTTCATTGGAATCTTCCAATACGACCTTAGTCACACCATGGCCACGCCCCAATCCAGAGCACAAGCCATCCAAGCAAAACGTCTTCACTTCGACCCATCACTTAGATTCTTCTAGCCTGTCACACAACCCCCAGACCGGACAAACACACGATGATGCAGATGTGTCAGAGTTCTCGTCCAAGGGCCAGATGGGTGCCGTACCGCAACCATTACCCCGTCAGTACCAACATGACGAGCGGGCTGCACCACAGGTGTTAGGAAGCAGGGCTTGCGCAGATGTGCGGGTGCCCAGCTATGAAGGTAGCGGTTGGGATGACGAGATCTCGTTGACGAAGCTTCACACTGTACGTGAAGGCGCTACTGATGAACCGCAATGCATTCAGCCTGCAAAGCCAGCTACAAGGCTACCCGTTCCCATCAAACCAGCTCCGTATTCTGGCGATCTTCGAATTGGTGTAAAGGACAGCCATCTCAGGCAGATACCTAAGCCTCTTCCTTGGCCAGGCACTTCTCCGCCTAAAGCAACAGCATGGCCGGGGATGGACGAGCTTATTCCGTCCGTTCCCTCTGAGAGTTCCGTGCGACAGAATTGTACCCAGGATTATGTCAGCGGTTTCCGTCCTCAGCAACTTGTGCGCGATGAGTCCGATCGCAGTATAGCCCGTATCGTTTCGAAGGAAAATATTCGCTCCGTACTCAGACATAACTCTCTGAACAGCTCAGCCGAAGATTTGACTCAGCCGCCTCCCGTATCGCTTTTGCTAGGACGCGATAGAACCGCGAGCCCTAGCGGTACCAGGCTACAGACGTACAACGCAAATCTATTTCCACGTAGAGAGGAGCGCAGGGGAACGCCGGTAGGAGGTCGAGTTGGTGCGGAAAAGAAGAGGGATGCACCCGGTGGTTCCTACGAGATGGATGACTTCAGCAGAGCGACAGATGGCCAGGGCGTGCAGAATACGACTGCAGGAAGTGATACACGATACCACGAGAGATATCATGGAATGCATGCGCCTGATGACCGCCGCAGCTTCGAGAAATGGATCTAAGAGGGCGTTGCCATCAAAACGCCACGCGATAGTTGTGCTGGTCCTTCGGCCTTGGGTAGCTTTATGCATTCTTGGATCACGTTGGGCTTCTGTGGCTGTCATCCTGGTGGTGGGACATGAAGGTTATCGGACCTCATACACATACACTCTCGATTGCGAATTGCTTCCGCGAGTGCTGGGCGATGGCAGGTTGGAGGAAGACACATAAGGTGGCTCGAAACAGAAGATAAGAAATGAAAAGAAAAATTCAAGCTGATAGCAGACAATTGCCGTGATGTACTGCGACATTGTTCCCTGGACCTCCGCCTGTGAAGACGATAAGCTGAAGTTTGATGACGCGCAGTCATCTCGGCTGCCGAAGCGTCGGGACGCGACAATGCCACGCTAGCATGAAATCAGCAACGCGTCATGGAAGTTTCTCTTACAGACACGCGACAATTTCAAGACAAGGCTATAAGCATCTCCAAATGCATGGAGTAGTCAAGTTTGTACTGATTTAGGGTCCAAGTAGTGCTCTCCAACCCTCATGCCTTACCAATCGGACCGAAACCCCCCTTTCGGAGCCATAACACTAAACGGCTACGATCTCCAACAGGCATGAGCAAAGTTGGTACAAAGAACTCGTCAAGAAAAGGTCAAGTTCTGGGGCGCGCCTGCACGAACTTATCTTGTGTGAGAACATATGTGCTGGATATGAAGATGCACTAGTCGCACTTATGCTAGACCTACTCTCAATCTTCGCATACTTGTGGTAGATCGTGACAGCTCGAAATGCATGTGAGACATACGCTGACTTGGTACCTTCGCATTGACAACTGCATAGCATTCCGATGGACTTGTACAAAAGCCTACTACCTTGGCATTTGCCTTCACACGGAGTCTCCGAATTGACCATACTTACAGTGACCTATAACGAGGATATGCCATGGCCTACATCCTCTTTGACAGACACACGTCATCAACAATACCTCGCTTCATACTCTTGAGGTAACCAGAGGAAGCCGCTGGTACCTGGTTCCCAATGCCGAATTATAAACAAGTCAAAGATTTGGTCTTGCCCCAAAAGCAGACACTACCTGCACTGAAAGTTTTCTACATCGCCCTTCAGGATGAGGGTCTTCAGAAGCTTGTGCGGATGACGCTTGACCCAGTAATACAGGACGATCGATCAGATATGGAGGATACACTCATCAGAACTGAATCTGTCACAGAGATACCTGATCCCATAAAGACTAAATCCCATGGTTGGCGTCCATACGTTGAAAAGCCTCACATACGTTGGGCTGGGCATAAGTATGTGCTTGAGCCAGGCGAGAGGTCCGTGTCTGAGTTCCACCACGCAGAGGCGAACGAGATAAGATCGCCAGAGATGTATCCTTGGTTAACAGGACTGATTGGGAATAGCGCTCAGTTAGTAACGGACGACATTTCTGACCTGTCCGTGGAGGAGGAAGACTATGGTCGCGAGTATATGATATACAAAGAATGAGTCGAGTTCATAGAGACTACCTAATTGTACAAGTCGCATGATAAGCGGTGTTCCGCCGCTTCGGATGTGCTTGTCGGAATTCCGGGCTCCGTGCACACGCCATCGTTGATGAAGAGGAACGTTCTTGGTTGCGAAACCAAACCAATAATGAACGTTCACACAAACGCGCGTATGACAAACATCCCTCTATTTGTAGGACAAGAACACCACTAGTCAGCCATCTCATGCCGCTTCGGAAGTGGTGGGGAGCGCTATAGAAGCGCTATGCCTCCTTAGGTTACGGCAGAATGGACTACCGTCATCGATCCATCACGACGGACCTATCCAGTGTCACACATCCAATCTGGCGTCTCACATCTGCTTCGACAGCATTCGTTCAACGGGACGCGAAATCAGCCTCCTGTCAGACTAGATTAGGTGAATGGAACGGGGCGTTATCATCTTGCGGATCAATAACCTCGGCCGCCCTCTAGATCCGCACCTGCTACAATCCGATCGCACGGTGCTAACATGGGCGGTCTACATTCTTCGAAGGTCGAAGAGGTCTGGAAGAGCGACGCTCGATATGCCATGGAGGCAGGAACCTTTTGCGTCGTATGTGGCAGCCCATTCGATATCGAAGGCGATGTATACAACATCGATCCCAAAGACATCCGGTTTCAGGTAAAGTATCCCCGAGGAAGCTGTTGCGAAATATTAATTTAAAACAAAACACAGTGGTTGAACAACCTTCGTCTGCTTGGTAGCATGGCCGACGTGGCCGAACACATGGTAGCCAGCGAGGGGTCGATGTAAGAAGGGGCCACGCTCATTCTTTTTCTTCTTCAGCTAAAGTTCCGAGAAGCCCGGTCAACGTTTCCGGACTGCCCGACATTTACCTCTCAGAAATCGCATCCTTCAGCTTGACTGGTTCGGGCTACTTTCGGATTGTCGACGACGCTGGACAAGATGATATCTGGTTCGACGCTCTTTCCTACACAGGCGACCATGGAACATTGTTTCCATTGCATGAGGGATGCATCGTGACGAGTTGTAGAGTTATAGAGCATCGTTATTCGACAAAAAGGGAGGTTGGACTAGAACCCACTCTCAAGATATTGTATCGACTACTGAGTACTCGCTTCGACCAACGGAAATGCTGCCCAGACGAATCAAACGAGACATCAAACGACATCTTTGATCTATGCTCCTTTTCTTCGGAATATGGTGCTAGAAGCGTGTTAGCTTTGAGCAGACTGGATTGGTGGGGTGGTAAATATGATGTAAGGTGCAACAGTACGTTTCTGAAACGGACCACTGATGATACGTAGAAATTTTATACCGACCCCATCGAAGGGAAAAGTACTGCGTCCTTTGTTCAAAGGGTATTACAAAGCTCGCCACGTAGAAGAGACGAGCCAGAGTATGTGTTGAAAGCAACACGTGAACCCCAGAGACTGGAGCGCCTTCCAACAGAGATGATGGACGCTATCTGCAGCTATCTACCAATACAATCCGTCATCGCACTACATCGCACATCGAAAGCACTCGCTCTGCGGATTCCGCTCGACTCTGTGTTCTGGCGAAACAGTCTTCGGGACGGAAGCCTCCATCCGCATATTTGGGATCTAGACACGAAGTGGATCGAGCACCATCTATCTAATCCTAATGCAGCGCTTTCAGATCCGACTGCATCATGGGATTGGAAAGTTGCTGCAAAGCTTCTTGCGACGAAACGCTTTTCGATAAGTGGATGCGACGACCGTCTACTTGATGTACCTGACGGCTTTTGGAACCGATGTAGGATCTGGGCTACTATTGAGGAGGCCCTACAGGAGCAAGACACCACGCTCCAGTGTAGAGCATCACAGCGCTGACGGAACACATCCAAGAGTGGGGTCCTGAAATTCTCCAGATGTACGAAAAGCCCACGATACCGCGGCACCAGACGAATTCGTGCTGTGAGACCATGTCGACAGCATAGAGCATCTACTCACGAGAAGAGGATTTGTGGAGCTTTATGTTCTACTTACAGTTTCTCAGTCTATTGCTCCACAACTCTACAGATGTCCAAGATGTCCAATGTGTTTACTTTCGCCGCTCCGCTAGCGATGCGACAAATTCATGCCAGCTTCCAGCGAAACTCTCGTAGAAGCCGCAGAACGCACTTGTTACAAACAGATACTCTGCTCGCTCGCAAAGCGCTATCGTTAGAGCCTTCACCTCTCCTTGTGGAACAGAATGTACTATGTACGCAGTTCGAGCACGCTTGTACGGCGAGGTAGAAAGCCACTCCTGGTATCCTTCGGTCATAAATTCCCCGTAGGATGTCTCTACAACCACCGTGATCTCGGGTCCAGGTGCCGCAAGCTCAGCGCTGACTGCTGTACCAGGATTATGAACCATCTTGGGTGTTATCAGCTCGGATTGCTCAGTCTTGTTTAAGGAAATGTTCAGACTTGCCATTTTGTTCTCGACAACACCAATAAGAGTTCGCGCTCTGCGATCGATAGCATCGAGGTACTTCTTAGCCTCTTCTGTGTACAAATTCACCGTCTCATCGACGAAGATACCTTCGACCCTCAAACGGGCGTCCTCTCTGGCTCTTCTACCGTATGTTTCGATGTCCTCTAGAACGTCTTGAACCGGTCGTCTGCAATAGGCTACCCGTACATAGCCCAAGGTCGTAACATTCGGCAATGCATTTAGCCGTGCTATTTCCCGAACATAGTCCTCATTCGGCCACCACGGTGCTGCACCTGGCCCACTATCCGGATTGATGATGACGACAAATCGAACACACGGATTTGCGGCGACGCTGAGAGAGATCAGTGAAAAAAAGGTTAATAGCAGGGGGAAGCTACGCTGTGTAAAGAGGATCCCATGCGCCGACTTGTGGGTAAATGTATAGTGGGAGGAGCACCTTTGATGGAGAGGATTGCGACATGGCTATCGAAATGAGGGTGATGCGAAGTGGAACAAGTGTCTCTTCCGAACCCAATGGAGTGCTGACTAATCGCCTCCATCCACCAGTCTCATGTTGCTCTTACCACGTGGTATTGGTCGCTGTTCTGCGCGGTGCAAAGACGCGTTCTCCGAATACAACCCATATTCGAAATTGGGATTGTTTGGCGCATCTCGGCGGAATGAAGAATACTCACCTCCATCCTCCGAAGCGCTCGGAGGAAGAGCGTGCCAAGACCTCGGATCGGTCACAGATATTACGGATGCTTACCTCTATAGGATAGTATATGTATGAGGAGTTCGCATACATTGTTTATCAACTTCCAGGCAGCTGTTACCACGACATCTTTTCATTTATAATACAGATATTGACTATACTCCGCAAGCTCAACTACCACAAACACATACAATGGACTTGCATAGAACCAAAACATCAGCTGCGTCTGATACAGCTACGCAGTATACTAGTGGTGTTACCACACCGGATGTTTTCGCGGAAGAGAAGGAACAGCAGCAGTACAAGCAGGATATGGAGGAGATCAGATCTACTCACGACGAAGCAACCAACAAAATTCAAGAGGAGTATCCTAGTGGCATGCGGCTAGTTCCCATCTTGGTCGCTGTACTGTGTGCAGTATTCCTTACTGCTCTGGACATGACCATCATTGGCACTGCTATTCCCAAGATCACCGATGAATTTCAGGGCCTCAACATGGTCTCTTGGGTGAGTTTAATACTCTAGTGATATGGACTCGAATGCCATGGTTCTAACTTACTCTAGTATGGCTCCGCGTACTTCATGACATTTGGTGGTTTCCAATCCGCATCTGGTAAATTCTACCGATACTTTCCGCTCAAGTGGTCATTCCTCGGGGCCATCTTCGTCTTTGAGATTGGAAGCTTGGTCTGTGCCGTGGCTCAGAACTCGACAACGTTCGTCGTGGGTCGCGCAATCGCTGGTGTCGGCTCTGCCGCTGTAGTAACGGGTGCGTTCACTATGGCTGCATTGTCTGCCGAGCCAAAACGACGACCAGCTCTTATGGGCCTTGTTGGTGCAGTATACGGTCTATCTAGCGTCGTCGGTCCGCTTTTGGGAGGTGTCTTTGCAGACACGGTGAGCTGGCGATGGTGGTATGTAGGCACGTTACCATAAATGTTCTACTCACCAACTGATGATGGCATAGCTTTTACATAAACCTTCCTATCGGCGGGGCCTCTGGCGCCCTGGTATTGTTCACCTACAAGACCCCACCGCAAGTCGTCGTCGTCAAAGCGACTTGGAAAGAGAAGTTTTTGCAAATGGATCCTCTCGGCATCGCCTTTGTCATGAGCGGCATCGTCGCGTACATCCTGGCACTCGAGAACGGTGGCCAGAAGAAGCCTTGGGGCAGCAGTCTTGTCATCGGTCTATTGGTAAGTTGTTACTGTATAAACTGAATTTGAGACATATACTGACTTTGTATATCCGTATGTTAGGTAGGCTTCGTGGCCATTCTGATCACCTTCATCGTATGGGAGATCTTCAATGGCGAGCGCTCGATGCTTCCACCCCGTCTTCTCCGCGAGCGCACCCTATGGCAGCCATCCGCTTTCATCTTCTTCTATTCGTCGGCGTATCTTGTACTACTGTACTATCTGCCGATCTACTTCCAGAGCGTTGACAACCGAAGCGCAATCAACTCGGGTGTACTCAACCTTCCTTTGGTCCTCGCAATGGTGATAGGCAGCATCATCAGTGGTGGTGTTGTATCGAAGACGGGCTACGCTGCACCTTTCATGAATGCAGGTGCTATCCTAGCGACTATCGCTACTGGTATGATGTATACGTTTGACATCGGCACTGGACTAGGCAAATGGATAGGATACCAGGCTCTTTATGGTATCGCAGTGGGCTTGGGCTTTCAGATGGCCATCAATACAGCTCAGGCCAACGCAACCATAGAGGACATGTCCTCGGCGACGGCAACAGTCTTTTGTACGCCCGAAAAACATATACCAATGAAAAGGACTAACGTGTTGTAGTTTTCCAAACCATCGGCGGCGCATTCTCATTGACCGCTGCCCAGTCCGGCTTCGTAAATCGCATGATTACCACACTTGCGATCACAGCACCAAACGTGGATCCGCAAGCGGTAATCGGAACTGGAGCTACTCAGCTTCGACAGACATTCAGTACCGAAGATATACCTGGCATTGTGGTGGCATACATGGCAGGAATAAAAGTCGCACTCGCTATTGCGATCGCTTTGGCGGGTGTAGCGGTCCTAGCTGCCGCACTTACACCCTTCAAAAAGCTCAACATGGAGAAGGTTCAGGCCGGAGCTGCGTAATCTTCAAGCACGGGGGCTTGCTAGGGTCGAAGGACACGTTGATGGCATTTGTTTAGTACTTCGTTGCCTATCGAGGAACATAGATTGTATTTCAAGGAGGTTCTCCCTCCTAGCTACATGGGCAGGTAGCGTCCCCCCACATTTGTGTGTCATTTGTAATGTTTACAACCTTCTAAGATTAGTCTCGAAAAGTATAGATGTCGATCAATTCACAAAACGCCACTGAGGCCTTTTCGTACAGCCAAAAATACGCCTATGTCTGCGTTGGCTCGTTTGCATGGCAGACCTTGTGCTGCTGTGTGATTGGCCTTTCAACAGCCAATGACCGTTGCCGTACACATCAGGCCTCCAGACCCAGAGGCACATTTCCCATTCTCGCTGGTCTCTTAGCGACATGCTCGGAGTCCGAGGCTTCTTCCGCCGAGCTGCAGGTGGCTCGGTCGCTGTCCCCCGTACTACCTAGGTGTCAAACTCGTCTCGTATCAACAATTTCGCATTCAATTCCATCGCAAGATTCATCACACCCTCACTAGCGTAATTCTGCCAGACTTCGGATTACTCTCCTTGAGTGGAGAAATCGTACGTGCCACCGAATCAGGCTAGCGTTGGTTGCCATGGGACCAGCTGTCAATGACACCGACATGAGCAGCTTTGAGCCTCCCAGCAAGCGGCGCAAACTTCGAAAGGGCACGACAAGCTGTTGGGACTGCAAAAAGCGGAAAGTGAAATGCACATTCGATGCAACATCAGATACAGTATGTGTAGCTTGTCGTCGTCGAAACGCGCCATGTATTCGCCAGGACCAGCCGGATGAAGTCCTTCTTCAGGAGGACGACAGCAGCCCGTCATCAACACCGCTGCGTTCCGGCGATGGGGTCAACAGGACCTATCCAGCTCCTAGCCTCTCTTATGAACAACTTCTTGAGCGCCTGCGAAGAGCCGAAGCATTACTTGCGCGGTCAGAAGACCTAAGACACGACTCAGCAGCAATCGACTTTGTGCAACTTCCGACACCCGGCTCTGCTGTACTAACACCGGAACAAAACCCTCTGCAGGCAGAAGACGGTGAAAACATCTCGATCGGCCTACGTCAAACGTTTCCTGCTCAGCGAGACCTCGATCTCCTGTGCAGATCGGACCGCAACGCGACCTTGTATAGCTACAAATGTCTCACGGGATCCAGCAACCTCTTAGAGCACGAATCATTCGACATTGTCGACGAATTGGCCACGGTCCCCGACGCCTCTACTACACCCCCAGTTCTTATGGCCAGGCATATGCTTATCCTAGCCCTCATGCTGCAGTACTTCCGGTGTAACGGAGCCGATCGCCTATCTGGAGACCCGAATGCTCTCGCTGTGCGCATGGTGGATACGGCCGTTCGCATGGTCATCACCAACGATCAACTAGTAGGCTGTATCGAAGGGCTGGAATGTATAATATACGAAGCCATTTTCCAATCCAACGCCGGCAACCTTCGGCGATCGTGGATAGCTTTCAGAAGAGCCATGGTATTTGCGCAGTTGATGAGGTTGGATACACCCAACCCTCCACCGATCAGTTTCTTAGAAAATAAGCATAGGGTGGGTCCAAAATTCCTATGGTTTCGAATTGTTCATATGGACAGCTATCTAAGCCTGATGCTCGGTCTGCCCCATGGAGGCCAGACTACGAACATGGAGATCCCTGTCCCTGGAGAGAGCCTGAGCTGCAAAATCGATCGAGCACATACACTCATCGCACGTGGTATCGTTGACCGCAACCGAGGAGATCCGCATCAAAACATCGAGGCTACCCGCAAACTGGATCGCGACCTCCAGAACGTGACAAAATCCCTTCCTGACAAATACTGGCTTGCACCAAGTTTCACTAGACTGCAACCAAGCACTAAAGAAGCCTTTGAAGAGCTCATGCGGCTTCGAGATCAGCTTTACCAGTACAATTTGCTTCATCTTCTGCACCTGCCTTTCCTCTTACATTGCGGCAAGGATTCAGATTTTCATATGTACGCCAAGATAACCTGTATCAATGCGGCCAGAGACGTTCTTACAAGATTTGTCGCGTTCCAAAATTTTCGACCAATCTCGACCCAGTCTTGTCACACAGCCGACTTCTTCGCGCTCATGGCCGGCATGACGATTCTGATCGCGCACATAGACAGCTGTCGCTGGAAAGATCATAGTTTTCTAGTACATCAACGACCCGGTGACCGCGCCATGGTCGAGCAGCTTATCGAAAAATTGGAACTGGTTTCGACGCAGACGAACGAACCCCTCACAAGCAAAAGTGCTGAGCAGCTTCGGAGCTTGCTCGAGATCGAAAGCGACGCTGCACGTGGGTCGAGTCATACTGGTGAGAGCACTGTCGATCGGCTTGAGGAGGGCTGCGGCGAGCAGTTTCAGCTCTCGATACCATATTTTGGAATTATCAAGATTTGTACAAAAGGCATCACGAAAGAGGGGCCGAGTCAGCAGGCTCCTGGTGCTGACATGCTTTTTGGCCCGTCGTCCTCAAACCTGATGGCTGTCGAGAATAATGTCTTTTCCACCTTTGGTCCGGACATTAGCGATAATATATCATCTGACCTCCTTGCAGCACAGCCCAACACACAGAACTTTCAGACCCTGCAGTCTGGATTGACATCCTCTGATGCGATCTTCAATACGCCACAACACTATCCTGGACTGACCGCAGGAACGAATGACTGGACGTTTCAGGGTGTAGATGCGGCGTTCTTTGATTCGTTGATGAAGGGAGTGGGTGATTGGGAAGAGACACTACTGGGAATCTGATTGCCTCTATCAATGATCGTGTCTGTGACACATGTTCCACATTTGCTTCTACGTGGAGAGGGATTATGATAGTATAAGTGCCACGTGTTCAATCATCATCCTCGGCGACAGTGCGCTGGCTTTCTAGGTGGTTTGCTTAAAAACCAAAACCGTTGAAACAATAAGAGGTCGACGGACAATGGTTTGATTGACCAAAACGTCGGAGCTGTACTCAAAGATATACTTCGTCTACGCATTGCACTTCAACCGAATGAAGTATTCATTTGCCTCTAGTCATGCTGCGCCTTGTCCAACAGCTCTTTCAATATCTTTGCCGTGCTCCTCATACCTTGCAGCGCATTCTCATCCGGCCCTTGCCCTGGTGTCCATGTCGCGTGCGCAAAGTCAATCATCTTGACTTCGGCCAATTTAGGCAGAGTCTCTTCATCGTCTTCATCCTCGTCTTCCGGATGTGCAGATCGTAGCTTCTGCTTGGTGTTTGCATACTCGTCTACATCACCCTCATATACCAGTAGTATGCTTGCGCTGTACATCCTGCTCTCTTTGCTTTCAAAAACCTCTTGGATGTCCTTGACCTCTCCCAGAAAGTAGGCGAGCACCTCCCTCGCCCGATCGAGCTCTGCTTCTGACTTTGCACCAGGGAAGATGTAGTCTGTGAAGCCTTCACTCACGTTCTCAGCGCTGAATTTACGTCCATACATCTTGTTGTACACCCAGTATCCGCCTTCCTTGTCCGTTTCCACATACTCCTTCAGGTCTTCGGGGATGTCGGGTACATCACTACCCTTGTACGTGCGCATACCCGCTATCCTAAACCCTAGACTGCCGCTTGTGGTCTCCTTGCTTACGGCATCAAGACGCGCTCTTTTCTCTGGCTTCGCAGCCTCATCCCACAGCTGCGCGCCAAGCTTCAGATCCAGAACATTCGGTTTCTTGAACCCATGTGTAATATTCTCTAGCACGATGTGAAGATCTGTAGCGAGTTTCTTGCCATGCAAACGCTCAATTGTACCGTCGGCCGTTTGTATGGTGCCGCTTTCGACCGACTCGGTAGCGGCGGCTTGGTCGGCTGAGAGGGAGAGTTGGCCCATGAAGGTGGGGAGGTGACGCGCGAGGTCCGGATGTTCGGTGAGGGACTCGTAGAAGTTGATCTCTGCAAGGGTGCAGGGCTTTACTACTACACCACCAGACTCGTCGCTGAGGACACCATCGCTGGGTTGTGGTGTTAGTATGGGCGGGGAGGCTGACAGGCGGCAGGCAACAAGGCACTTACTGACCAGCAGCAGCACTGCCATATGCTTTCAGGTTAGACGCGTCATATGCTTTGGTTGCCATGGTTTTCGGATTGTATAGCGAGTCTTGCTATGTTGTGAACGTGTTCGTACGCGTGGTTGGTGTTCAGGTGGAAGATACATGGTATGCAGGCTGTAAGCCCCACGACATGGGTTTCAGGGTCCTTTGCGAGTCAGCCAATGCCGTCATCCAGGGTATCACGATTCGCGCTAATCCAGCACAATCCATTGGTTTTGTACGACTTCAAGATTATGTGTTATGCCATCCAGATTTTGTTCTTATTATTCCCCATTTAGAGGCCCATCATGAAAGTTACTGCAACAGATACCATCGCTGCATACCTTGACCGATTGTCCTTCATCGCCGCTAGCAAGAACCACCATCTCACCTTGACTTAGTCTTCAATGCGCAAAAATCAAATTACTGGGCATGGACTCACCGTAAAAGCGAGTGAGAGTACGAGATACTCGGAATCGGAAGTTGCGACGGCCAGTCTTGGGCATTCGTGCGCTCTTACCTCAAGATGCAAACGCAGTTACCCACCATCTCGAAGGCACTGTTTGTTGTCGCCTCACCACGGCATCAACTCTCTACACACGATCCTTGCCCATTGCACCCCTTTCTCCTCTCTAAGCACATCAATTCCATCTTTTCCAATACCCAGTGCAGAAAGCAGCAGATATGGCGACCGCGATCACAGCACCTATTGTGCATGCAGGACCTACCAATGAAGCCTCTAGCAACAGTACTGCTACCTCTGCCATTGAAGACCATCCAGATGGTGCAGAGATTCGTCGTCAAGTACGTTTACCAGTCTCCGATCTTTTGGTCAGTCATGCGGTCACACTAATCTCCCTCCAAGGTGGAGTTCTACTTCTCCGACGAAAACCTTCCCACAGACAAACACCTACTACAGTGCTGTGGTGGACGCGAGAATCTCCCCGTCTCGATCAGTCGCATTCGCGGTTTCCAGAGAATGCGCCAATACAAGCCCAAGACCCTCGTTACTGCAGCTCTCCGCTTGAGCGCCTTTCTGGAAGTGTCTGCTGACGGAAAGACCATCAAGCGTAAGGTACCTTTGACTGGAAAGAATATCCTCGATCCAGATTACTTCGATACCGAAGATGACGACGATATTGCTTACGCCCCAGGTTCTCGAAAGGCGAAAGCGCAGCGGCCGGCTCAGTATCCAGTACCACTACTGCCCCAAACAAAGGCAAAGTATCCCGAAGGGGTGTCTAAGAATATGCTCAAAGCTACTGGGTTCGAGAAGGCCTACATTGAGCCTGTTCTCACCCCTGTGGAAGCTGCCGAGGAAGAAGAGATGTACGCTCTGACCAAACCGTTTGTCGAACGTATCGAGATCGCCATCCAGCGCTTCAAGCAGAAGCGTCGCATGCATGAAATGTATGCACATGTCTTCAACAAGCTCATGCGCTTCGGCGGAGTAGAGTCTGGTCCTCGCATGTATCAAGGGCTTTCCAAGCACGAGATGAATGAGATGGGTCCTGAGGAACTTGCAAGGGCTCTCGCTGTCCACAATGTACCCTGGGACCGCTCTAATGAGAACAAGTGGGTCGTAGATTTTGTAGCTCTCTGCAAAGCCTTCCTGTAGGTTCATCTTACCCTTTGCTCCACTGACACGATACTGACTGGAACAGATCATCTTGGTATCCCGCCCACTATGGCTATGCGTCGTATGCTATCAAGAATGCTTGCCAAGTTCCCCGCTCCTTCCTCGGGTATCTTCGCTTTCACCGTGTCTGTCCCGAGTTCGATGACCAGATGGCCACTGCACTTCAAATCTGCGATCAGGCTGAGCAGGAGCTTCCAAAAGTCAACTCTCTAGGTCTTGCCCTGCCCGGAGATTTCAACAAATCTGCTAGCGTCTTATTCGGTGGTGCCCAGGCTGGTATGTTTACTGGTAACAAGTCCTGGGCGGAGGATCTGAAGAAGGAAGGCCTGGCGGTTGTGGAAATTGGTATCCGGGACGAAGAAGCTAGGATCAAGTTCGGCACTGGCATCGCTGTTCTGGGTTCGGAGGCGCAATATGACATGTTTGAGTCTGGGCAGCTAAAAGTTCTCGGCAAGGACACTGCCTACCTTGAGGTCACTGCCATCAATCTTCCCGACAACGATACCAAGTCTGCATATGCAGAGCAGAGTGAGGCCTTCAAACATAAGCTTGGACAGCTTGGACCCCTCGGTAAGCTTTCCTGCAAGACCTGGCACACGGACGACTGCGACGACTACGATCTACCCAAGGATAAAACCAAGTACCCCAATGGTAAGCCACGGAAAGCTGGCAATGGCAAAGAGTACGAGTTTTGGATCGAGGAGAGCATTCTTGAGGACTGCTTCGTGGGCCTGAAGATGGATGCCACTATCCTGCTCCTTTCTGGTGGTCTCACCATTCTCGACGACATCAAGGAGACTATGTGTAGCTTCTACACTTGGATCCCAAACGAGCTGTGGATGGAGAGGAAGCCAAAGGAAGTGCGATGGTTGAAGAAGGGCTTGGGTCTCGACGAGGACGAGGACGAGGACGAGGTTGAGATCCTTGGAGGGAACAAAGCGAGCGCGGGTAAAGATGCTTCCGATGACGATTTTGACGACGAGTAGAAAAGTAGTCGAGGGACGAGCCGATGTGTTTTCGTGGCAGGACTTTGGTGAAACAGTAGTCCAGAATATCGTAGTCTGATCTCGTGCCGAGCCGCTTAGGACAATGGAAAATTGACAATGTTTTGGTTTGGGAAGTAAGATTTCAGAAGGGGAAAGTCACGATGTATTTCCAAACATGGTAAGATTTGCCGTGGACGCACGTATTCCAAGGTCAGCGGAAATTGCGTCCTCAGTGCGCGACAAGTTGCAACGATCGCGAAGGGGGTGTCTTCTTCCGCTTGCGCAGGCTGCCAGGACGCGCCTGTACGCTATGTTTGACAAGCGCCTGCGCCATATTCCCACGCCTCAGTTTCATACCAGCGTCCTGCAGGCCATTAACAAGGATAACATCGCAAAGATCAACTAAAGCATACAGTGTTGAGGCCGAAATATCCGATAACAATATCGCGCAACGAAGCAATGCCACGACTTACACCTGCGTCGGGGTTGACTCTTGGCCGGCAACGACTAAACATCACGAAGACACTTGGACGATATTTCAACACCACACCCAGTGCACGCCCTACGATATGGTAAGACGCGATACCCCGATATACGGACACTTCGGCGAGGGAGCCTATTGCCAACATCTTGGCAGAGACACATGCCATGGCTTTCGTTGGTTTGCCAAGGCCACGCCGCCGGATGATGTGCGTGGATTCGTGACGCGGTCCTCCCACAAGCAACCCAGAGAGTAAAAGAGGGAAGTAGGCCTGCGTACTGTACTACACATGCCAGAGGCAGGTACGCGTATGGCGGGTGAATATTGGCTGCACAAACGGATCGCATGGTGCAGTGCACCGGTTTACCCGTTCCTGTCTCGCATAAAAGACTGATCTGTCGCAAGTTACCCGGCTGTACCTAGCCAACGCATGTGAGACGAGATGGGGACGTGGGAGAGGATGACAAGGAAAAGGGACGCGCAGCAAAGGTTGATTGCTACACGCGCGTGCGGAGTGGAAAGGGCAAGGGACTGCCAAGAGCCTTGAGTGCTCTTAGCAAGCGGAGAACGCAGGTGGGCTGCTGGGTAAAACGTGCGTTACCGCCGTCGGGCTTTTGATTTCTGGCTTCGCCTTTTCCCGCTGGGTTTGTTTTCTGGCTATTCGACTATGCGCCTTTGCGACGAGGGTGCTGCTTTACAACGACGTTGTGGTGTTTGCTCCATTACTGCGACTAGGATATGAGTGACAAAGGTTCGGTATTGCGAAAGAGCGAAAACTATCACTGCTGCGGGTTGTTGTGATCGACAAACGATTTTGGGTCAGAATTTAAAAAGAGGTGGACCAGAGCGGAGCGGAACGTGTCTGCTAGGATGCAAGTTACGAGCGCCGCCTTGGAAGCGCGATCAATCATGGGTTTGCCGAACCGGGCTCAACATGGTATGTTCGTCTCCAGTTTTCGCGACTAGATAACATGGCACAACATGGCGGCTGACTTTCATGACAGCGCAAAACTTCCTGAATCCTTACATATATGACCCGTCTTACCCTCTCGCCATAACAGGGGCGATTCTCGTACTGTTGGTCTCTGCATATTCTCTTTACCAGTACATCCGCCTCAAGGCGTATTTCTTCTGGGCAGCCATCATCGCCATTGTCATGCTCGACCTGGGTTTCATATGCCGTCTGGTATCTGCCTATGACGAGCACAGAGAGTCACCCTTCCTTGCCTCCTGGCTCATGATCCTGCTCGCGCCCAGTTTCCTCGCTGCAGCGTGTTATACTGCATTCAGTCGTGTTGTGTGGTTTTCCTGCCCAACCTACGCACTCAACTTCAAGACGCTGTGGTGCTTTCCCAGATACATCACCGCCACTTTTGTGTCCTTTGACCTTTTCAGCTTCATCATTCAACTTGTGGGCGCGAGTCAAATCAGCCGGCAATACGACCGAGATACGCAAGGGAACCGTACTATCGCTTCGTCGGAACGGCAAGCACTACCTGGCAGGATCATCCTCATTTTGGGGCTGGTGCTGCAGGTGCTGTGTTTCCTCAGTTTTTCCATCATCAGTATGCGGTACTTTTACATTAGCCGGCACTGGGCTGCTCATGACTTGGGAGATCTGCACCTTTGGCGCAAGTTGGGATATACGATAAACCTCTCCTCGGTCCTGATCGCCTTACGAGCGCTCTACCGTACTATCGAGATACCCCATGATCGCAACTATGGGTTGTTGTACCTGCAGAGCCACGAATGGTGCTTCTGGGTGTTTGACGCCGCCCCAGTACTCGCTGTGCTAGTTGTGTTTGCTGTGTGGCATCCGGGTCGTTATCTACCCAGAAGCTATACGGGATGCAAGTTGGACAAGGGCAGGGCTGTCAAAGAGAAGGATGAGATCAGTTCGATGAATGGGGGTAACGGTGGACATGGCACCGAGTTGAGAAACTTCAAACCTGAGGATTTCCAATCTGAGAGGGCTGCAACGAACGTATAGGAATTTGACATGAGACGGAAAGGGTTGCTGTTTATGATACCATTGCATTTAGCGGGATGGCGTTTTGAGGGTTCATCGGAATGATACCATGCTCAATGATACACCTGTATGCCTACCCCAATTAGATCTTTTGACCTGTGCTTCTTCGTAAACACTAGAGCTGTTCTTGTCAATCAACTCTTGTTCGCATCTCTGTGCTCCTTCTCATTAAAAACTTTCCTCGGTTCCTGAGAACGTACGCGCAACAAGATGCAGTCTATGACGCACAGCCCTGCATGGCTTGCTACCCGAGTCTCGAGCGGTGTTGCAGTTTCAGTCATCGTTGCCAGGGCCAGCTTCGAGATCTCTAGGATATCAGATGGAGTGCTTATACCCTCTAGAAGGGAGATGTTGGCCAGAAAGTGTTGTGTGTTCTCCTTCATATGTCAGGCTGATAGTGCATCCTGAACTTCTTGTTCGCGCGATCAGCCGCTCTTGTCTGGAACTGCTCCGCGTTGAGTTCAAACACAAGTGGCTTCATGGGAGTCTTCCCATCTTGCTCGAGAAGCGGCACCTCAAACCGGAGGATCGTGTGCTCTTTGGGGACAGCTAAATTTGTCAGATACTTACCACTTACCTAAGTCTTGCTTGCTAGACTTACATTTCACAGAGTTGTTCTTGGTGATGATCTCGAATGTGAACCTTGTGTCACGAACGATGATACCCTCCAAGCCTACGCGACTTACACATCGGCTTCGCACTACAGTCACGAGCGCGCCGTGCATGTCAGCAGTCGCAAGCAGTTGTCCACTCGAATTCGGCGTGACAAGGACACTCCGCGCAGTATCGCTCAGGCCTAGCACGTCCCTCATGTAGCCAGCCCACAAGTTGTGCAACCCCTCATAGAGGGCGTAGTTTTGCTGCTCCTTGGGAATTTCGTTCAGGCAGAGTGCACGCTTTTTCGCAGCGGACAGTGGACGAGGCTTGTTCTTGCTGCGCTTCCGAGCAGTCTGTTTGAGCTCGTTAAGGGCGCGACGGCGGACTGCGCGTGCAGAGGGTGTAGGCGAGGTTGCGCGAATGTGAAGGGGCCGCTTCAGCACGCGCTCGTGATAATGCGACTCTGCGGTCGAGGGGGAGAAGGCGCGGTGCAGCAGGGTTTGGGCGATGTGTGTGTCTCCGTATGCCATGCTGGCCGTAGGCTTGTCGCGACGAATTATTTCCAAGTCTTGCAAGTCTCGCTGGAAACTACGATGGCTAAAGTCGCAGCTCCTCGGAATGCATGAAGTTGGTCTTCTTGCCATGACGAGGAAGACGGCGGCGCTAGCGCGCACAAAAGCGGGCTAGACCGGTGGCTCGGCTATCGTTTTGTTCCGCTGCCTCCCACACAATTTCGAACAATTCGACCTCAGCTTCTCGACAACACCGCTAACCCGCAGCAACCGTCAAGATGAAGTACATGTACGTTTATCCCCGAGCACACGACTGTCAAACCGCCGCATCGCACGATTTTCCCGCTTCCGACCGGTCAATGGGCGCCTCGAAAGCAGATTCCACCACGGGCAAACATCAGAATCCAGGACTTTTGCTGACAAGTGCGAAACAGCCACTCTGAGGAAGAGCTCGCCATCCCCGAGGGCGTCAAGGTCACCATCAAGAACAGGAATGTTCTTGTTGAGGGTGAGTGCGCACGATAGAAGACGCATAAGGAATCCAACACTGACATCTCCAACAGGTCCCCGAGTAAGCCAATCGCGATAGCCTCGACCACCTCGAACCGATTCTTACACTCTACAGGGCAAGCTCACAAAGTCTCTCGGCCACTTGGCGGTCAGCTTCACGCACCCCAAGAAGAATGTCATCAAGATCGAGCTCCACCACGGCGCCCGCAAGAGCGTTGCTACTCTCCGAACTGTCCGCACCCTGATTGTACGTCGCGCGCATCCTCGAATTCCTACACTGGTAGACATGGAAGGACTGGGCTGACTGGGAATAGAACAACTTGATCATCGGTGTCACCAAGGGATACAAGTACAAGATGCGCTACGTATATGCCCAGTATGTTACACCAGCCGCACATCCCTCCCGAACCCGTCGCAGAGCATATCCCATCCGGCGCGGCTCTCCAGGCTCTCCGACAAATCAACGCAGGACTCCTGGTTGAGATGCTGGGAGCCTTGAATTGGATATGCTCATGCTGAGCGTCAGGCGCACATTGCTGGACATGACTAACATCACACCCAGTTTCCCCATCAACGTCAACCTGGAGAAGAACAAGGAGACCGACTGCTGGGAGGTGGAGATCCGAAACTTCATCGGCGAGAAGCTCGTACGAAGGGTTGTCATGAGGCCCGGTGTTGAGGTTGAGGCGTCGAAGAACCAGAAGGATCAGCTCGAGCTGTCCGGAAACGTAAGAACTGCGGTGCAACAACCATTTCAACCAATGCTAACATCATCCAGTCGCTCGAGGACGTCTCCCAAGGTGCCGCCGACATTCAGCAAATCTGCAAGGTCCGCAACAAGGATATCCGAAAGTTCTTGGACGGTCTGTACGTGTCGGAGCGCGGCAACATCGTCGAGGACGCGTAAACGGTTCTTGGGAGTACGGGTTTCTTTACGGGCAATGAGCATCTATGAACTTCTCTGCATCATATGCGGTTGGCGCCTGGGGGTCTAAGATCAAAAACGATGTTCAAACAATACCACCATGACTTGATGGAATCGCGCCGGCACATTCACGATGAAGTGTGAGGTGATGAGAAGTCAATAAGATCAGTACTTGCCAAGAGACATGAACGATCTGAACTTCAACACCACGGCGAGCTTCGGCTTATCATGCACTTGGTGACGAATCAATCTGTGCTGGATGCTCATCTCAGAACCCCTAGCCTCTTTCCAGTGCTTTGCCTGTGCAAACAACATGCCCCACATTTTGAACTCAGGATGGGTGTGATGACCGTTGTAACTACCCCTTGATATACACGTACCGATAAGCACATCCTTCCTTCTTTTGGCAGCTGGACAGTCCGCGGATGTGATGTTTACACATGACGTACACGGCGGCTCGTCGTGCCTGAACCCCGCATCGTGGCTCGTTGCAGTATCTACCACCGGGATAATGATGAAGCTATCGCCGCAAAGCCCGACCTTGACGGCTATGTACTCGATTGGGAAGTATGTGGTGCAGACACGGAGAAAATGCCGTCGTTGCAGAGTATATGAAGTGCGTGCCGCCTTACCATGTGGTGATTCATTCACGCCTCTCTGTTGCTCGCCCCACCACAGCCTTGCGAAACCCAAGTACCCCACTAAACACCAATCCGCAAGCGATCCACTGATTTGCGACCATGCCGGATAAGCTCGATGTGCAGGGTCTCCTCCAGGAGTCCAAGGCTGAATACAAACGCCTAGGAAAGAGTGGCCTGAAGGTCTCAGTACCTATCCTGGGTGCCATGAGCATTGGTTCCTCTAAATGGCAGCCCTGGGTCATTGAAGAAGAAGAGTCGCTACCGCTACTGAAAGCTGCGTACGATCGCGGTCTTACGACTTGGGATACCGGTATGTCCGATAGGCTGTCCGCTCGTTTGCCGTAGTTCACTGATATCTTGCAAAGCCAATGTCTATTCCAATGGCGTCTCCGAAGAGCTCGTTGGCAAAGCAATCAAGAAGTACGACTTGCCTCGTGAGAAGCTCGTCATCCTCACGAAGTGCTTTGGTTACGTTGGCGAAGATCCAGGTCTACGTACGATCCAGTATGGCACGGAGCTGCCTCAGTTGAAAGACTATGTGAATCAAGGTGGTCTGTCACGGCAAGCAATCTTCAACGCCGTCAATGCATCGCTCAAGCGTCTCGATTTGGAGTATATCGATCTTCTACAAATCCATCGCTACGATCCAAATACACCTCTCGAGGAAACCATGGAGGCGCTGCACGATCTGGTCAAGAGTGGAAAAGTCAGGTACATCGGTGCCAGCTCCATGTGGGCAGTCCAGTTTGCGCAAATGCAGTTTACTGCCGAGAAGAATGGTTGGACCAAATTCATCAGCATGCAGAACCATTACAACCTGCTGTATCGCGAGGAAGAGCGTGAGATGAATCGATTCTGTAATGACACTGGCGTTGGTCTTATTCCGGTATGCTACCCTTTTCGAGCATCAAGTCATTCCTTCACTAACCGCCGATAGTGGGCACCACTATGCCGTGGCCATCTCGCTCGCCCTCCGTCGGCATTCGGCTCGACCACTCGTTCAGAAGGGGAACAGAAGGCTGGCAATCAGACCTCTGGTAACAACGAGCGTGACAAGAAGATCATCGGCCGTGTCGAAGAGATCGCAAAGAAGCATGACTGGAAGATGAGCCATGTTGCGCTAGCATGGATCAACAAGCGTGTTGCGAGTCCCATTATCGGTTTCTCCAGTGTAGACAGGATGGATGAGGCACTTGCAGCAAGGGGCAAAGAGTTGACTGAAGAAGAGGAGAAGTACCTCGAAGAGCTTTACGAGCCCGTTAAGATTGTTGGACATTCATAGAGAAGCCACGCGATGAGCTCTGAACGAGTACACGCAAGTGACTAGCAAGACAATGATGCACACTACTACACGAGATGTTGAGCTATTCCAATCTTCCATGTTGCTTTTTCAAGTTGACTCATTTTAGAGTTGAATGTTCGGCTGCATGCGCCTCATGTACGCCGCCTCATATGGTCTTGCGAGGGGCGGATAGTCCAGTCGGATGTTGGCATGTACCTCCGCGTGGACCATGAGCCCTTGCAGTAATCAAGTGGACCTCTGATACACTCGGTCCGCGTTAGGGCCCGAAGCTGAGATGATACGCGTCGATGCGCGCTTTGTCAATGTCGCCGAGCGCAATGACGTCGGTCACGCGATCTATCTCACCACCGTACCTGATCTTCCGAAACAGCCGTACAACGAAAGCAGATAGCTGGAGTTGGCGAAGTGCGAAGAAGGAGGCTCAATTGCTAGCTTTCAAAGTATATCTTGTGCTGTGAGCCAATGCTACCTGGTGTACACGCATGCTTCGTCCGTTGGCGTTTGTTCCTTCCCCGCATTCTGGGCGATGCTCCCCTTCCCCGCATTGGCTCGACCATTCACGTCTCACGCCGGTTCGATTGGACCACAATGTGGTGATCGATCAAGTGACCGTCTCCTGTGCCTGCCGGCGACAGACTGTGCCCCTCATAAGCTGCGCCCTCCCTCCCTTCTTGCTCTTCCCCACAGCCTCCACTGTGCTTCAGACTCTCACCCCTTATCCATAGCTCTAAGCAATCCCCATACAGCTTCCCAAGCTCTTTCATCATCTACAACCCTTCCCAATCTCCCAGTAGTCAGCTGCAACTGCATACCACCACAATGGCCGCAGAGACAGAAAACACGCTTCAGAAGGTCGACTCTTTGACTGACCACCAAGATGGCGCCGCTAAGAAGGGCCACCGCAGAGTCAGCTCCATGGCTGCTGACGTCTACCGGATCGAGGATCTAGGTGAGTGTTCCTATGACAATGGCCCAGATGAGGGGTCGTGCGTGAGGGGCAGGCGAGCTGACAGGAGCACAGAAAAGGAAGGCAAGAAGATTGAGATCGCAATCGAAACCCAGAAGCTGAATTGGTAAGTGATCCTCCTGTTTCGTTGATAAGAACCATCCGACAACAACGCCCAGCAGCTCATCATCATCCGGATGGCCCGGGTCAGCCCTGATACCTTGCATCGTACTAACACAATACCTCTAGGAAGCTGAACAAGTCACCATCCACTGTCGAAGACCCATCAGTCTTGAAAATGCCACTCACTGAGCCCAAGCTCAAGTCCATCGCCCTGCACTTCCCGCTAGGCCTAGAAGTCACTGCACGGAATATGAAAGGTGTCACCATCAAGGATGCACTAGATGCCATCCACAAGCAGTTCAAGAAGCGCGTAAGTATCCCCATTCATTGCATCTTACCATCGAGCATCGTTGGCGATCCTCTCATACCCCGCACCATCTAGGGTTACCGTGTGTGGAAGCATAGCTGACCCCCTCCTGTAGGCAGACGACGAGTTCGAAAAGCCGTACCTCATGGGCTTCGAGTGGGACCCAGAAGAGTGCTACACCCGCTTTATCGTCCACCAGTCGGCCGTCCCGACGGTAAAGAACGAGTTCGGCTCAAGCAAGAAGAAGAAGAAGAACAAGGCTGAGGGCGAGGAGGGTTCCTAAATGAACGACTCGCCCCCTTCCCTGACTTCGACTTTTACACACAGCCCCAGTCATACTTCTGTGCTTCGGCAACGGTATGTGCGGGGCATGGATATGCACTCGGGTGCTGGTCAATCTTCATATCGATATGGGAAGAGCGAGCGTGTCTGCTGTGATGGCGTGGCTGGTGTACTGTATGCCTGCATTGGCAGACGGTGTACTTGCTGTGGCTATGGAGTGGTGGATATGCGTCGTGGAACCGTTCGCGGGATGCTCGCTGGAAAGGTAGTATCTGCTCATGTATGCTCTCGGGCACTCTTTCGGGTTGCTGGAAAGCACCCAACATAATGAGAAGACCTGACTATCGTGAATGATCCTTTTGAATCTTGCTATGGTGTTGTTGTGAAGCTTCTGACGTTGGCTGGGGACCCACCCCACTACGGGCAGCTCTCCACCACGCTGCCTGTAAGCGAAGGCACGTTGCGGGTTCCCGCGGATTGAAATGACTTCCTCCATGGCCCATAAACCGTGTCTGGCTCATGAAGTGGTTCGAATGGTTGTCGCTTCTGTAAAGACAGCACGCGCAACGCGCAAAGTTGTCTATAGTGCCCGCTCAGCTGCACTCGAATCGGAGAGCAGGTAGCCTTGCATTGGTAGCGCTGCAAGCGCTGGCGTTTCACTACCCTTAGCATAAACCTTTGTCTTCCGACACCGTACTTTGAGCATCATCAAACCCCGTTTCTCTTCCTTATACATCGCATGTACATTTCTATATACAATTTCAAACCTCTGCATACTTAGTACAGATTCAAGTTTCATGCGCACAACCTAGGAGAAGACCACACCAACCTTACCCAGCGTCACAACGGGCCAAAAACATCAAGATCCGCATGCATATGCCATCTTGTGATAGCCGTCTATCAAGCTAGAAAGACATCAATGCGATGTTCACAAACCTCCAGATACGACCTGCACCTGCCAAGACCCGACGCCGCAAGCCTAGCTTATCCATCCGCGCTGGCGTTACAAAGCGAAGGGTTTCGACTGTGTCAGCCGTGAGTTCTAGCAATGTGCCCTCGATGAGCTTCATGGAGGGGTTGTTTGGTGATGAGTTTCCTGAAGCTTTTGGAAGCGGGGCTCGGAATAAGAAGACCATCACAAACTTGCCGGCAGAGCTACTCGAAATCGTATGCGAACATATCTCTAAGCTCGACATTAAGCGTTTGCGGCTTGTGAGCAAGCACTTCGCATCCAGCGTGTATCTACGCATAGATCGCATCTACGTCTCGCCAAATCGAGCTAATCTGGACTATCTACATCAAATTCTGGCCCATCCTACATACCCTGGCCGTGTGCGCGAGATCGTCTGGGACGATGCTTTGCTCAAGGAGTATTCGACGTTGGAGGGATTTCGTGCTGCAATCATCGCCGACGAAAGAGAGACTACCAGAGCCATTGAACGTCGGCTTGAGGAAACCATGGAGATCTATGGTGATAGTGATCCCGATTACCGACCATTAGAAATGGAAGACTTACTTCAGGATGGTCGATTGACTGAGGCTGCGAAGGAAATCCTTCTGCGATACGATGATCAATTCTCAAGAGATGTTCTTGCTAGGAATGCCACAATGATGAGCATTGAAGACAGCTACGCGTTATATCAGGAACTGTATCGCCAGGAACAAGAGCTTGTGGAACAGCAAATCGATGCGATGGCACTGCATCAAGCCCTGAATGGCTTTCCAAATGTGAGAAGAATGACGCTAACGACTGACACTTGGCCTGCATGGAATGTCGTGCCTCGATACAATACCCCCTATCATCGTTCGTTACCTCTGGGTTTCCGCAAACCAGCTGTCTGGCCATGGCTTCGGTCCGACCAGGAGTCAGAGGATATGTTTGCTCAATGGCACCCTCGTCCTGCCAACCCGCCCAAGAACGCAAAGCCCTTGCCAGCGGAACACAGGAACTACGGCGTTGTGGTGTCTGCTATACTCGCCATGCCAGATCCGCACATCGAAGAGTTCATAGTCGAATCTGAACACCAAGCAAGGTCCTGTTACCACTGCTTCCTCACCGAAACTTCACAAAATTACCGACTTACGAAACAAATGTTCCAGCGGACACGCTTGAAGCGCCTAAAAATGATTTTCAGTCCTCCAAATGACTATCTTATGAGTCCAGAAGGCTTGAACAATCTCAAGTCTCTACTGGTAGAACTACAGTACCTCGAATATCTCGATCTTGGCTTCAACGATAGTAGATCAGGCCGGTCTTGGCGCTTCTTTCTACGATTCAATCCTATCCCTGAGGCCATGAGATCGCGCTTGCGATGTCTCACCCTGCGGAATGTGAAGCTGTCAGGGGAGGACCTCAGAGACATGTTTACCACATCGCCAAACTTGCAGAACGTCACATTACATGATTGTTTTCAGCGGATGCGTCCAGGATGTGATTGGCCGTGGCTCTTTGAGCAACTACGAGATTATTACCACGGCGAAGTCAATATTAGCAAGCCAAGCTTTACAGTTCTGGCACCGCTGTCTCATCAATACTCACAGCTTGTCAATGAGGAGGTGGACGACTTTTTGTATGGCGATGGAACCGCCGAGTGTCCGTTTGTAAATTCGCCACCAAGACCAGGGGCTAACGCTCTTAAACCGCACATGGGATGGAAAGTTTGGGATAGGGACGAAAGCGTGAGAGAACGAATGGCTGAGGTAGCTGAAAGGGAGGAGATGCAAGAACGCGATGACGAGATGTAGTGGGAAGGTTGGAACTTGACACATGTCAAGCGTAGCCTAGAAAGCGAAAAACAGTCGCCACATCAGGGTTCCCCATAAGGTTCGAGTATTTCCAGATACTCATGGCGTCTTTGCAAGAGCTACCTACACTTATGAACCCAGTATTAGATGGCTCGCCAAAATACGCACACACATACGATAAGATTATGGGCTCCCATCGTATCGGTTCAGACTTGGTCTACTGATACGTCTGATCCAAACTCTGTGAGCCGTATTCATCGCACGTCTATTGGAGGAGACTTCTAGTATATTGCCGCGAACTGAACGTGGAAAGCGGTGGTAGATAGACGAAAGAAGATGACAATGTGGCGTGGGATGGGGTGGCAGGATTAGGGTTTCCGTGATCCAACAACGATTGAGAGAACCTAAGAGATAGAAGTTGAAGGACCTGCTGCCAGACGGTGACCAGCTAACTCATTATAGACGTCAGGTTTCTACCAGTCAATCCGATCAGACGTGTATTTACGCACATAATACGGCGGAGTAGCACGAAGAAGCTCGGGTTCACATATTGTACCAATCTACTTGTTATATGGCATGAAGCTATGCGCAGAAGTCCAAGTAACAGATCCAGTAGACAAGCGACAATGCATATATCTAGGGTAGAGTTTTAGTGTTCAGGATACGTACCTTCAAGGTCTTTACAAAAGTCGGACGCAATGTAAGAGAGGACATTATTCATAGTACTACAGAGACACATTTAGAAAGGGTAGATAAGCTTGCCTTCTGCACAGATCTCCTGAAAGATTTTCACAACTTGAACCTTATGTTGTAGCCTCCTACCTCCACCACTATTCCGATGCTCTTGAACGCCTTCAGTGCCAATGTATCCTTCCTCAATCTCGCTGCTTCTTTTTCATACTGTCCAATCCATGTTAGAAACGTCTAGTTAACTAGACCCTCGACAGTTTCTGGCCATTTGCCTAAGATCATGGCGTTCCCTGGTGTCGCTCCTGGTAGTGGGCTGAGGAGCTTGACCTTCTTTTTCGCCTCATCCACGTCGGCGACATAGATATATCCCCTGATACTGCTGTCACGGATGACAGCCTGTGGATCATTGGGACTAGCTGTAGTGATGGCGAGTAGTTGATTTTGCATTGCCTCGGACGGTGTAACCTTTTCGAAGATTTGTCGCTCGACAGTCATGTCGTATTCGTCAACCCCACCGTTCACGTCTCCTTCAATGGCGCGGAAGATGTTGAGGTCGGCGGCATCGGCCATCTGGCTACTAGGGGCAAGTGTCTCATCGCCTTTGCCGAAGAAGTACTCTTTGATTTGGGCGTGGCGGAGTGCTTCCATGTATTCTTCACTTCGATCTACACAACCGCCAGACTTGTCGAGACGGATTACGAAGACGGTCTCGGAAGGATCGCCGCTAGTTCGGGCTGAGAACTTTCGGGAAAGATCGGAGTAGAGGCGTTCGGAGCCGAGGGTTACGAGGACGTTGACTGGAGTGGTGTTAGTCGCATGATCTTCCTGTGCTGGTACATACAACTGATTGCCTATCTTCCAGGACGTTGGGTTCCGGAATCTGTGTACTTGTGGGCATGGGCAATGCTGGAAGGGGAAAAGGCAGAAGTAGTATTCAAGACATCACACGTACTAGAGAACTCAGAAACAATATGTTCTATGTTGTCGTAGACGCCATTCCTCCCTTGGCTGATGGCGCCTGAGCTATCAATGATGAAGCCAGCCTGCTTGCTGAGCTTGTCTTCCTCCAATCTACTTGTGACAGCAAGTGCCATGCGCGTTACCAACGGCTTGAACACCTTGCCCTCCTCCGGGTCTTTAAGACCGTAGTGATATACCAGCGGCATCTTGACCGGAATAGGGCTGGGCTCCGAGATTGGACTGCTCCCCCAGCCCTCTTCAATGTCTACGATGGACGAGTATACAGCTGCTGAGAAGGAGCCGGGCACACTGAGCATACCCTGGCGCGGATCCAGGTTTATGACCATTGGCTGCCTGCTAGTCTTGACAGCATAGGACGTGAGGGTTTTGACGAGTGATGTCTTGCCCGAGTTCTCCGGCCCTACGACAAGCACTCTTGGGCCCATGTCGACACTGCCGCTGGCGATGCTCCTGTCGCGCAAGTTTTCTAGGGCGAAATGTAGGTTTGCACAACTCATCATGGGTGTCTCTTCAGCGATATAGTCCGACTCAACCTCTCCGCCGATGTCGAGCTTGCAGCCGTGCCATGTGAAGATGGCGCCCTTTGTGCCCTGGAAGGTGTATGTGGTGGAGGGTGCCAGCTCGGTACCAAAGAACTCTGCAGTGCCCGACTGCAACTTGACCGTGAGTGTTCGGGAGAAGGATACTTCGAAGCGGTATTCGGTGTTGGCGGCGAGCTCCTGCGTTCGTGTGGCCGTCGAAGTAGGGCCATTTTGCGTCTCGGCAGGCTGCGAGGACAGGTTGAGGCCTGGCAGAGAGATCATGTTGGATGCGGCAATGGAGAGAAAGCTGACGCAGACTTGGGTTCCGTCGACTCGCGCGACTTGAACGTGATGGTGTATCGCGTACCTGGAATTATAAAAGCCAGTGAGAAGTCGCGCCGCAGTCGCAGCGCCATCACATCGAGGAAGCGTGCTGGAGCTGGAGCTCGGGCCCTGCGGACTTAACACGAGCTTATTGGCGGAGGTGATGGGGGATGCTTTCCCCATGGATGCCACGCTATCAGTCGCAAAGTCGCCAATCTAGATTGCAATTGAACCTCGACGCCCTTTCATCTATCTTTCCACGACACGGAACTCGAGTCGTGCCAAGTCATGTGCAACATTCCCGGCTAAGAGCCTTTCCATTTGCGCCACATCTACAGTAGTCTTCCGCCATTCTCGACAACGATTACTCTTTCGATAGACCATGAAGGTTCCACTAGCATCCTTGTCCTTGGGGGCTCTGTTTACCTTGCCATCGGCCCTCGCTGGACTGAATAATGTCGGAGAGCAAGAGCCTCTAAGACCCCCCATCGACCCGCTCAAGTACAAGGCTGCATGTCCCGACTACAAGAACTATGCGATGCGACCACAGTACGTGAACCCCATATATGAGAGACGACACACGCTGATTCATGCGGCAGCCCACCGTATAGCGCAGGTCCCATGGAACTACCCTTCCAACGGCCATCCAAGTACTGCCGAACCTTCGAATCGCCTCTCGTCGAGAAGGTCATCGATGACATGAATGAAAAAATAGTCGACAAGGACCTTGCTCGTCTGTTCGAAAATGCCTTCCCCAACACATTGGACACAACGGTACGCTGGCACGTTGATGGGACTGTGAAGCACAAGTCCTCAAGACGAAGCTGGGACCCAGCAGCGTGGAAGGGCGCGCAAAGCTTCATTGTCACAGGAGACATCAACGCCGAATGGTTGCGCGACTCTACAAACCAACTAGCGCAGTATCAGCTGCTGGCCAAGAAAGACAAGGACATACACCAGCTCATTTTGGGAGCCATCAATACACAGGCAGAGTACGTCATTGGCTCACCCTACTGCAATGCCTTCCAGCCCCCTCCGCCGAGTGGGCTGAGACCGACCTTCCAAGGTGATGGCGACAACGTACATCCAAACTACGAACAGTCGTTCGTCTTCGAATGCAAGTACGAACTCGATTCGCTTGCGCATTTTCTCTCCTTGTCCAATCAATTCCACAACCACACCGACTCCACAGACTTCATCAACGGCCGCTGGCTGCTTGCTCTTGACACTTTGCTCAACGTGCTCCAGCAGCAGTCGAAGCCTACCTTCAACGAGGAGACAGGCGCATACCAAGGCAACGAATATACATGGCAGCGCCAAACCAACATCGGTACCGAAACACTCAGCTTAAGCGGTCTCGGCAACCCGCTCAATGGTGGTACAGGGCTCGTCCGCTCTGCTTTTCGTCCCAGCGACGATGCCACAATCCTTGGCTTCTTCATTCCCGCCAATGCCATGATCGCCGTGGAACTACTGCGCACAGCTGTCATTCTCAAGAAAGCAGGAAAGAAACACATTGCAGCAGAAGTGCAGACTTGGGGCGAGAAAATCCAGAAAGGTGTCTGGGAACACGGCGTCGTGACGCACAAGAAGTATGGCGAGGTTTTTGCCTTTGAAGTCGACGGCTACGGGTCTTCCATCTTGATGGACGATGCCAACCTGCCCTCTCTCCTCGCTCTACCTCTCCTCGGCTTCACAGATGCAGACAATAAAATCTACAAAAACACCCGTAAGATGATACTCGAAAAGAACGGCAACCCATATTACCTTACCGGTTCCGACTTTGCGGGCATTGGCGGCCCTCACGTTGGTGTACGAAATGCTTGGCCTATGGCTGTCCTTGTGCAAGCCATGACCTCAGACGACGACGAAGAGATCATGACATGCCTTGCTGCGGTCAAGAATGTGAGTAGCTTGGGTCTGGTGCATGAGAGTGTAAATGTGCAGTCTGGGAAGTCGTATACACGCAGTTGGTTTGCATGGGCGAATTCGGTCTTTGCGCAGACCGTGTTGGACTTGGCGCAAAGGAAGCCACATTTACTCTTTGGTAAGGGGGTGGAGGCGTACACTGTTGGTTGAAGTGGTTTCAAAGGATGACATCAGTCGCTGTCTCATCATCAAAGTGCTGTAAAAGGGCAGCCTGCAAGATGTTCGACGGGCAATGTAAAATGGTTTCATCAGAGCCGCTTATATCACAAGAGTTCCTTGTCATCTAGTATTCCCCTCCTATCTACGTCAAACATCCAGCCAAATGCATCCTGTCCGTGCCAAAACGCTCCAGACCTAATGGGTATCCAAAGAAACCAAGATAAAATAAAGCAGAGAAAGTAAACAAGCGATTAAACAATGTACAAAACAACCGAGTAATTAGTATGGGGTATTTCAGGTCGTGCCATGGCCAAAACAAAATGAAGAACACAACCGCTTGCTTTCAAAAAGATCCAGACCGTCGCACATTATCCAATAACAATTGTCATCTGGGTCAAGAGGCTCCAGCGCTTATCGTGTTGCGTTTAGGCTCAGCCGGTGAAGCTCATTTGGCTTCTCAACTTCTCAGTAGTTCTCCTCCTCGAAACAGAGCGCTGTTCGCCTGTTCCCTGAGCAAGGTTCGTCCAGTCTTCCCAATCAGAAGCCATCTCTGTGAGCACGTTGCCCATGACCTGTGCACTGGCCATGAGTCCATGTTGCTCGCCCTCTAGAATCCGCACTTCGCACTTGCGCATCAGCTTGCCAAGCCATCGGACGTTGTCGACTGGTACACGCGAGTCTTTGGATCCGTGGTGGATGACAACAGGTCTATTGATGTCTTCGTATCGGAATCCAATGGTTTGCTTAGTCTCAAGACAGACGATCAGGTCAGTTGCAGGGTTTGCGTTTGCCGTTGCGCGGTCCCAGATGGCGAAAGTAAGGCGTTCGTCAAAAGCGCGTTGGCGTTCGACTTCAGCCATACTGAGCATTTCCTGCATGCGTTGTGATTCCTCGTTACTGGCGTCTGGGCTCGACAAGGTCAGCGTGCTTGCATTCGGCAAGACTTGATCCATCATCATCATCGAATGTCGGTGAGTATCCTTCAGAGGTGGGCGGGTTGCTGGTTGCTGTGGCGGCACTGGCGACGGGGCCATGCTCTTCCGTCTAGTCTTGGGTGACGTTTTGGGTCCGGTGCGCTGGAGGCTGGCGCTTGTCGCGCTGAGGAAGGTGGAGTTTGCAACCTTGAGTAAGGACGGGGGCAAAGCGCGAAGGAATCGTTGCGATCGCGGAAGTTGCTGGGTAGGTGGTGAGTCCTGGCTGATGCCAATGGGTGCCATTTGTGATGGCGGTATCCAAGGCGCAAGGAGGTGTACGCGACCACGGATATGCTGTGGCATTCGTAAAGATGTTGCTAATGCGTAGACGGCGCCGGCAGAGTGCGCGAGCATGGAAAACTTGTTAATTTTCAAAGATTGGCATATCACGAGTACATCATCTAATACATGTTAGCCGAGAATCTCTATTGCAATGATGGGCACTTCTCATACCAGGCCAGCTGAGAGGCGTCCCGGTTGGGTCGGATTGACTGCCTCCAATACCAGGACGATCTGGCGTAATCAAACGCAGCTTCAAAGTCGCAGCGAGCTGATCGTAAAATGCCATCACATATCTAGTCAATCCCATGCCTACACAGACAAAGACAGCGAAGCCGTTGGGGTCACCGACTTCTGAGAATGAAATGAGTCTCCCAGTTTGTGGATGCCGGATCTTCTGTGAGAGACGTGATGATTCTAGGTATTGGTGCACGTCCAGGTCGATGGAATCTAGACTTGCAGGTCGCTCCTCGATTATCGGGTGTGGTGGACTTTGTACTGCGGCCGCTCTGGACCTTTGCTCATTCCGATCGACTCTGTCATTGTGCTCTTTCTCTGCCTTTGCTGGCAGATCGGGGTGCGACCACCTCTTGCTGCTACTTGTGCGCTTACGTTGTAGTTGCATACTGTGAGACTGTGGCGGAGGAGAAATAACATGCATTGAACGGTGTCGAGTAATAGGCTCTTCACTGGCCGCTCGAGAGGGTGGTGCCAGTCTGTTGGGTGAATCCTCGGTTACACTGGAGGAGTGTCTGTGTTTTGAGGACTGGCCCATGATGATCGAACTAGTCGCCGCTCGACGCCCGAGCGCAGATCTCCCGCCGACGCACAGTAGTGAGTTTGCTCGTTGGGGAACAGAAGATTCGCTACTTGACTTGGTTGCCTTTGAGATGATGCTTGCTGCACCGGGCGATCTTGACAACCGTGGGTCTAGTATGGTCGGCGTCGGCGTAGATTCGTCCAGACTTTGGAGCGCAAGCGTGTAATCGATCGGCAGTGGGGTAAGTTCATCACCGTCATTCAGTGTCAGACTGCGGTGCCGCGAGTGGCGCAGATTGCGTGGTTGTAGTGGTACCGAGAGGTTAGACTTGTCACCTTCTGCTTTTTCAGCCGGCTTATCCATCGGCCTTTCCGTTAGCTTCTCGGCCGCTAGGGCGGTTTCCTGCGATATCCCAAGCACTCTGTGTGCCTTTGTCGAGTTCTGCACCCTCCTTTCGTCCTCCGACACGCTTGAAACAGACGAGATGGGCGACGACTCGGGACTAGGAATGGATGAAACGCGAGGCACCCTGGGTGGTGTCGCCCCTGCGTGTGCATCAACAGGCATCTTTCCGGCTAATTTATCTCTTCGCAGTTTCTGGTCTCTAAGTTCTCGGATTCTTTGAGCGACCTCATTCTCCTCCTGTTCCAGTTCTTCCAAGATCTTCTTCTTCCTCTGTGCTTCGGGGTCCATCTTTTCTTCCTCTTCTGGAACTATGTCGGTCTTGCGAGACTTTGGACGGCTCTTGTCCCCCGGTCGGCGCTTCTTGCTCTTGCGCGCGGGGCTGCCTGTGTGCTTCAAGGATGACCCGCGCTCGGGGATTAGTCCGCTGTCTGAGGGGCTTTCGAGATGATGGGCATCGACTAGGTTCAGGCGCAGTCGGCGTGGACTGTTGTTCCTGCTGGGATGCTGCTGGGCGAATCTCGACGACTCAGCCACTGTCTCGAGTGAGCGTTGTTCGTCCTTGGCAGAGGAGGGCTCTTCGCTGATGGTGTCTTCGTAAGGGAAGAGTTGGTGGGCGATCTTCTTGGAAGGGGAGCCAGTGGGGATATCGTCGAGGTTGTGTACAGTCACGCGCTTGCGTTCGGTCTCCTTTTGTCGTAGTCGCTCGCGTGAGCTCATGTACATCAAGCTCTTGTGCCCCTTTGCGCTTCTCTTGCTCTCTACCGACGACCGCGCACTGCCGACTGAGGGGCGCGGCACACCTGCCTCAACGCTGATGTTGCCGAAACTGCTCCCTGACCGGTTAGAATGGGTAGACTGCAGAGAGCACGAGCTGCCGCCGCTTCGTCCGATGTAGCTGCTGAGCGAATGCGCTTTGCTTGGTTTCTTGGGCGCGGTAAGGGGCGAGAGGCCGGATGGCGGCTTCGAGGTTCGGATAACAGGCGGCTCGCATGCGTCGTCGGGGTAGACGTCGTTCTGGTCTCTTATTGAGTTGTGGTAGTTGCCATGGTCCACCGAAACTCCATCGTGTCCTGCGATCGAGTTCTTCTCCGAGTGGGTGCGTACGCTGGGCGCAGCGGATGTAGACAGGCCGTTGTCGTAGCCGACGAGGAGGTTCTCGAAATGGTTATGCGCTGGGATGGATATGGCGGACAGCTGGTCGATCAGGGACGAGATAACCTGGGGCGATGCGGCCGTGGTGCGTATATAATTAGGCGTGCGCTTGCTTGGTCGGGCATCCGCTGTTTTGACAGACGATGGGAGAGAGTCGCGCCGTCGCGACTTCGCCGGGGCTCCAGTGGCTGCTGCACCGCTGTCGGTGGGGGAAGAGCGAACGGGTTGCTGGGAATCCATTTCCGCCGCGTGCTGCACGAGAGCAGGCCGTATTCCAGATTGGTATGCCGTCTATGTCACTGTGTCTGGAATGCTGCAGAGTTGATGATCAGTGCATGATTGGCATGCAGAGTCCCCGGGCCCGGTAACCATGCGCGTCCAACTTCAGTCGGTGCCTGTCAGTAGCAAAACGAGACTTGAAAATTGCAAAGACGTCGAGAGCGTCCAGATATCCAGAAAGATACCAGAAAGACAAAAAAACCCGCCGAAGAGATGGGACGCCTGTGTTTAATTGCACATCGGGCAGCGGGCGCCCGAGGCGAATTGAACCTCCTCAGGGATACGCGATGCCGTGGTTTGCAGCGGCAGGGGCCACGAGCTAGTCTCAGTTGAGCCCCCCGTGAACTTTAACCCCTCGCATATCCTCTTTTCTATACCAACAAGAAACGCCTCTTCTGGACATCCCGCGTTTCCTCGCCTTCTGTTCATTTGCCAGCGTCAAACCTTCCACCTATCGTCTACTTCTGCGGCTGCGTTGCGCGACTGTCTGCTTGAACATGTACGCCCGTTCAGCTGCGGGTCCTCATGCACAGGTTTGTCTTGACTCATGTTTGCTCATGCATAACCCCAAAAGAACCGATCAGCATTTGCTTTGGCCATGTTCAGGCGCGTCTTAATTATACATGTTCATGTTGTTTCTTCTCTTCCACCTTCATGCTTATGCTGTTTACCACGCAACTATCGCCCCTCCCGTAAGCTGGGACTTTCGGAGAATAACGCACACACCACATAATCTATCTAAGACCCGGGAGCAGCCGATTATCTACTAGGTTACCCTTCGTCATCAGCGGGTTTTGAGACCGAACATCCTTGCTCCTCATCCGTTGGAGACAACTTGAGGGTTGCTGTGCCGCGATAAACAATGCTCACACTGACTCATGCACGCGTTGCGTCGCGTCACGTAGCATTACATGAAGAGGCGACGTGAAGACTGCACTTGCAGTAATAACAAAGTATTATCGGATGAACTTTCTGGTACTCATCATGTTCGAATACAGCCTCTCCAGGAGTCTCATCCGAGTGTCATCGGCCTCATAAGACCACACTGAGACGCTCGTCTAAGCAAACAAGCGAATCCCGTGTTCTATACAGCCCGTCGCAGCGGCTTTAGACGAGTGCCTACTGGCCCAGGCTCACTAGGT